AGGCGAAAGGCGCCAAATGAAAACACGTGATGCCCGGGCAATTGGTGGGCAACAAAGCTCCAGCTTTGAGTTATGGCCAAACGCAATGGCGAGCACAAACAAAAGGAGGAGACGGAGAACAAGGAATCCACTCCCGAAGACCAGGGCACCCGGACACCGGAAGGCAACCCACTGGCCACGTTTGCATTTCAATTGACTTTCCGTGAGCTACGCTCTCCACATCCACGTCCACGTCGACGTCTACGTCCACGTCCTTGTCGTCTTCTTCGTCCTTTACTAACCACAGCTCTGCATTTTTCACGATAAAATCATAAATCAGCGCTGAATCAGGTAAATAAAAATAATGCTCAAACTCTGTATGCAAATTGAACACAGAGTCGGAGCAGCGAAGACTTATTCGCCGAGATTTGACTGTGTAAAAATATGATAAAACTTGAGCGAGTCAAAAAAAACTTTATAACTGAGGGCAAAAACTTGACTTTGCTTATGCGAATGAGCTGGATGGTTGGTCGGTGGCTAAAATTTTGAATAATATTGTTGAAGACAACGGTAGATTTTTTCTGGAAACTTTTCCCGCTTTTTTGAAGGGTTGGACATGGAGGTATGAAATGGAAATAGCTCAGCAATCAGGCTATGTTAATTAGACAGTGCACTAAAGGGCATAGCAAATGACTCAGAACGAGGAGCAGGAAACAAAATGGAAGAGGTTCCCCATACAGGATACAGCAAGTATTGGGTTCAATGTGTTTGATGGGAAATGATGCGAAGAGCGGATTTAACATCTAATTAAAACGATTGACAAGAACGATTCGGTTTATTAACTATTCTCTTAAGAACTCTTTTGGTTAACCAACAACTTGGCACATTAAAATATTTAACAATATAACTTAAGTTTAAAATGTGCTATAAAATGGCAAAGCGAGATAAGGTTCATTAAGTTTTCTTTAAGAACACGTAATGCTAGTCTACGAATTGTTTGTAAAAATCCTGTTGACTGGTGTATTTGCCGTCCCCTGCAACCACAACACACACGCACTCATGCCGAACAGAGATTGACCTGCGCTTTATTACTTCAAAAATGCGGCATTTGGCCAATGCTCAAAGGGATCGATCGAGTCCATAGCAGCGTTGATGGCGCATCGCTGGCCAATTATACGGCTTTGAGGGCATCGTTTGGTATTGGTTCGTTCCTCAGGCGTCGACTCGTTAAGTATCCGCAAAGCATGCAATCTCTGCCAGTTACTGGAATTCGGCTTTGTGGCAGACAAAACTGCATTCAAATCGTTGCGGTTACGGCTCGGCTGGTTGGCTGCCTGGCTGGCTGGTTGGCTGCCTGGATGCCATGGCAATTTGGGCATTGCAGGCGTCGTCTTAAAGTAGGCCCAGTTTATTAATTAACACAACCCGACCATCTCACAATCCGACTCTGCATCCTGCATCCCTTCAGAGACGCCTGACCGCACTTGGTTTGATTTCAGCCGGATGGTAACTTAGAGCTGGGAATTCAATGCACACTCGTATGCATATTGAAGTGCGATTGCCTGGCTTTGAGAATGCACCTCTTGCATCAATTATGGGCATTTCAAAACTGTTTGAAACCATTTTCAAAATGTTCAGCAGGCTAAACAAAAGCAGGCCCAAGCTGGCCCCATGGTAACCGGCTAGCAGAGTCCATTGAGAGCTCTGGGCTTATCTACGCCGGACAGGTCAAGGGCTAATAGGTATCGATTTGGCACAACCTGTATTTATGGCTTGACTTTCAAAATTGAAAAGACAACGAACTACTTATTTAAGATTCTTTTCTTGCTGTTCACTAGAAATAATGGAAAGGATTATGTTTTTCTTTAATAATTTTGTGAATATCTTGACATATTTCAAGTCAACTTAGCATTTTTCTATGAAGAAGATAGCTTGCAGCTAGACAACGATGGAGTATGGTCGGATGTGCAAGATTGCTGCTATGCATACTCGTATACGATCGTTTGTAAGGCACTAATTATGGCGTATGGCCCCGGGCCAAAGGACCTCCTTTCAGTTCGCTTCGTTCTCAAAGGCACGCCCCGCATCATTTAAAAGTTATTAAGCACAAATGTAAACAGACGAAGGCAGCGTTCGAGTTGTCTCGAAGCCATGGTTGTGTTTATCAAACTCGTGTGACGCAGATAAATATGCAGTGGGTGCATGACGGGGGAAGAGGAGGCAAGAGTCCTGGAAGGATTCAAGCGGAAACGTAGATGCACATGTAGAAAATTATCTAGAATCTAGGATTATAACATTTTAATATAATTTCTTGCAGAATTTTATTAAATCGTGCAACTGGAATATCTTTTTTTGCAAATTTAAGTTTAATAAAAAGTAATTAATAAGAAATTTCTTCTTGTGTACGCAAACAGAGACACTTATAGGAAAGTCACACACACACAGCACACGCAACACACATATGCAGAGCGGAGTCAATAAATTCTCATTTCGCTGGATGCGTGGAATATTTCACCTGCAAACAAAGTGCGCTCTTCGCTACTCTGCTCTCCGCAGACGCAATAATAAATACAAATAAAAACATGACGCATAAAGATTACAGCCACCGCAGGCGAACGTGGTAGCGAAAGGAGCCAACTCATCTAGGTTTCAGCTCTACTCTGCTCCGCTAGAACACCCAAAAACCATCTTACCCATCCCCATCCACACTCTCAATCCAATCTATATTAAGTATACGCACCGTTTGAACCATGCATTTTAATGATGTCTCCGTTGCCCCTGGCTCGTCACCTAATCTTTCGCCCTAGCTCCTGGCCTTTCGCCCTCACATCCACCTGCTGTGACGACGTAAATGTTCATTTATTTTAATTAGTATTGAGCTGGGTTGTCCTTGCACTGGCGGCTTCGATAGATCAAGGTAGCTGGATGTGGCATACAACTGAGCCAATATCCGAAACATTTTCTACACTGCAATAATACATTGATATTGGTATAAATTTGGAAAATGCTTTAATATTGCTATGAATTTTTATGTAGGACCGCTTTGCACGTTGCGACTTCTCTAGAAAAAATTAGCTTACGAAATTATCGATATCATAAGCCATTTTTAAAGAACTAATTAGTTCGATATCGATAAAAGTGTCATCACCAAAAAGCAAACCACGTTTTTCAAATAGTTGAAAGTTTTAAAGTTTTATTTTTAATAAAATAACTACCCAGCATGTGTAACAAAAAGTTGAAAAATAGAAAAGTTAAACAAACAGCCAAAAACATTGAAAAAGTACAGCTCGGTCGTCACGAGATTGAGACCTGAGACGAGATTGAGCCTTATCCTGGAGAGTACGGAATAGCGAGGATCATATACGTTTGCGAGTTCTGCCTTAAATATATGCGCATGCGATTGATTGATCTTGATGATTGCAAGATGACAGGGCCACCGGCATACCGGGATACGGCAAGCTGCTAATCGCTCTTAGCTATGAAATCTCCTGCAGGGATGGATTAATTGGAGGACTTGAAAAGCCGGTTTCGGATTTCGGTAGCCTCTGTTAACACGGCTATTCGGGGGTATACTCCTTTCTTGCTGTTGAAAGACCGCTCCCCGCTGGAGCAAATAACCATCAAGGAGTCAAGCAAAACGACTGGCTTTTTGAAAGAGGACATCACTTACACTCTACAATATATGAAGATGATTAAGAACTTTAAAGATGGCCACATTATTAGTGCTACGCCTAAAATTATTGAAGAAAGGCTTTAGCTGCCGCAACTAAAAAAACCAATGCTAGCCCTGGATACCAATTGCCTGGACTGAAAGTCAAACAACTGACTAATAGTCACAAATAACAATACTACTTTAAAGGCCCTTAAGGACGTATTGGCTTAATCACAAAGCTAATTTTTCCTCACTTCCTTTTTTTCATACTTATTTTTCATTTTTAAAATTAGTGTATATATCATATTCTTTGCCTGAAGAGTATTCTGAATACCCCATTATTGTATTTTTTTTACTGTGTACCTGAGTTGGTCTATTAAAAAATACATTAGCAAGATAAGGTCTTTTCAAGGGACGTGGAAAGTAGGTAAAATCTTAGAATTAATGAAAAATCAATGACAACCCGCCATGGAATTGATTTCTGAAGCACATCGGACTGGCTGGGAAGTTTGATTGCGCAACTTTGATGTTAGCAACGGGATATGCACTTTAAGTGAAGTCATCAAAGAGCTTGGCAGTCGGTTGTTAGGCAATTTCAGAGCTGGCAAAGTTGACTTTTGCACTTGCACTTACTTAACCCACAACCTCACTCACTTTGCCGTGTTGACGGTGCCGAGTAAATATTTCCATTTATGGTCCTGTACAGTTATTGAGTGTGGCCAACGTTCCACGTACTTGAGGAACGGGAACCAAGGGGGCTACTTGACCCGGACGCAGAGACCTGGCAACTGGGAAAGTCCTTGGCACGTTGCTAATGTGCATAGCCATTAAGTCAGGGCTGCGTGTTTTGTTTACGCAACGGCGTGAGCTCCATAACTTGGCAGGGGGCTTGGGTTTTACAAAAGGGCCAACAATGCTGTGGCATTGCTATTCGACTGTTGCATGTTGCAAGTGCGGCTGACAGGTAACCAGCAAAGGGGGGTGGTAGAAAATTACATTAAATCGGATGGGTAAGAATTGGTGGGTTGAGGGTTGGGGTTGCCCTAACAACAACCAGCCAAGGCAACGGGGAACATAACCGGGGAAATGGAATCAAAACAAGCAACATAAACAAACAATTTAAACAACGCTGTTATTATTCGACATCTTTAATCAAAGTAAACCTGCTATATTTTCGTCAGGGAAATGGAAATAACTTTCATCAAACGTCGTTAACAAATTGTGTATCTGTATACCGTGTATGTGGGCCAAAGACAACATTTCGAGGCATTCCATATTTGGTTTTTAGACGGGGCTGGCATCGGCCATCGCCGGAGTTGCAGCCGCAACTGTTGTCCTGGGATACACAGAAGGATTTGCAGACGCCCAGGAGTAAATACGCCAGCTTTCTGCGGCGGAAACGAAACCAAACTGCACAGCAAGGTAGCTGAAATTGATTGAAAGAACAACAAAAACGGAAAGGTGGTTGAGCATCCACCAAGTTGGCATCAAGTGGGAGAACCTAGCGAAGAGAAATCCTGTTTGTGACGAGAAATCCTGCGAAATCAAGGCAAACGTTTGATGTTCAGCCGCGCGAAGACGCCGACGTGGCAGCAAAACAACCAAAAGAGAGCAAGCAGAAGACCCAAAACCCACTCCCGCAACCTGTAACCCACTCCATCGCCCAATCTCAAGGACCTATTCAAATAAGCGGCGACCACCATGTCACAAACCCAATTCGATTCCGCCACAGAAAGTGTCGATGGGCCGCCAGAAAACTTTAACAACGATGAGCCCCGAGTCGTCTGGCTAAAGACGATTATATCAAACACGTTGGGAGTCTTCGATCCCAAGTATGTTAATGCCACTCTCAACAAAAATATGCCCGCCGTGGATGACTTCTTCCGGCGGCGCTACGAATCTCAAACCGATCTGGAATATGTAGTACTGTTCGTGTGGCGAACTTTCTACGACAAACTCATCGAGGAGGAGATCACTGTCCTTGAAGAGGTGCCTCGTCCACCTCCTACTGTTCCCGACAAAAAGGGCAAGGGCAAGAAGAAGGGTGATGCCAGGATGGCAGGTGGAAAGTCTGCCGGCAAAGCGGGTGGAGCCGCTGGAGCAGCCGGAAAAGGGCGTAAGAAAGCTGGACAGGACCCTCCAACCGCTGGCGAAAATCAAGAGCACGTCGAAGAGGTCAACACAGGTGGGGAGACCACAGATGCCGAAGTCGAAGGAGAGATGGAAGGTGAAGAGGAGGCAACGGTAGCTGGCAGTGGCAAGAGCTCAGCTCGATCTCGTCGTAAGTATTAATAAAACTTTTATGAGAGATTTATTTTAAGATTGGGAAGTAACTTTTCCATATTGCTAAAGGTATACATAAGGTATACATTTTAATCACATGTTAAGTTAAAATGCTTAATTTAAGGTCCTTTTTCCTCTTTTCCCAAACCATATAAATATCATTACTTATCCCCGAAATATTTTCAGCCAGCTCTGATACGGAAAACGGTAAATATGATGCATTATTTGAGTTTCCTTTGTTTCTGTCTAAAGATTTTAATTTCAAAAGTTTCAGTTTTTTCCTCCTTCATTTCCCCATTCTGGCGATGCATAAATTTTTAGCCCGTCCAACTTGATATCAAACGAAAATCTTGGTCCACACTTTGATTCGCGCTGCCCACTTCACATCATAAATATTTAAGGGCCTCATTTTCGTTTGCCTGGCTAAAATTCATTTCTTTTGTAACTTTTAATTTGAATCACCCACTCCAGCAGACCCACCACTATGCCACCATCCAACTCATTTGATTTTCCATTGCCTGGTGCAAAGATAAGAGCAAAGTTTCGCCGGCTCATTCATTGCATTTAAATGGAAGCGCGCAACTTGCCACAATGCAAATTCCGCCCGCTGCACTTTGTTCCATCCCATCAATCTCAATCACAATCGTAATCGCGGAGCTGCATTCGCTTACTCGCTTTTGACCCGCCCATTTTGGCCCCCTTTACTAATGCACTACCTCTTACCCAATTTTCCACCTCCCGCCCCAAAAAGGAACCAAGAAGAAGAAGAAGCCCAGCTATGTACCTGTCTACGTGGAAGTGAAGGTGAGTTTTTGTGGAAACAGACCCTAATTGAAACGCACAAAGGGTGTGTGCGAGAGATCCCTAATTGAAAATGACACTCAACTCTTTGAAATTGATGTGATAAAACATGAAACTAGTCAGTAAAGTCGCAAAAAATTACAGAAACTGGTTCCGGCGTACGTCAAGACCCCGCAAGTGCACTGCCATTTTGGAAGGATGGAGTCCGAGGACTTGGACCCTAAAATAAAATACATATACATAGTGCGGAAGAACAGAAGGGAGATTCGTAAGTAGAAAATATACATTAACAAACCTTTAAATATAAAGTTAAGCTTAACCCATTTGATTAACCTCTATAAATTATGAACTTTAATATCATTTTAGCCTGGTTCAATGAGGTAAATTCCTGCTTTGCCCAAATGCCGCTGTACTTCCTGATAGGAACTGTCCGGGGGTCACTTATCAACTCGCTGAGAGATGACTTGAACCTGGTAAGCCCACCGAACTCCTTCCTCTCTGTTATCGGACATTAAAAGACGCATCACCAAACCAAAATCACTCAAATTTGCACCCGATTCGCTCATTTCACACACCATAAAACGTTGTTCAATCAATCAAGGACTTTAAGGCCGATTCACCATTGTTTCAAGAAATTGTTCGTCCTTTCGTCCGCTTGTCCTTTCATCCCGAAGTCCGCTCTCCGACCGCAAAACAAAATGTTGTGACGAATTGTAATTAATTCCCGAAACAAGGCAGTCATCTATCAAAATGCCCGCTGTGCCGCAAGATTTTTCCGCTTCACTGCACCGCTTTGGAGCTGAGAGGATTTCGGGTGTTCGCAATGGATAGGCGGTTGGGTGATTGGGTGGTCGCACAGAGGGTGGGGCATCACGCCTACTGAACCGAGCCTTAAGCGTTGACCGCCAACGCAAATTGCTTCATCATAGCTTCCAAAACGGGCTGCGGTTTCCATTAGACTGCCACCCAAGACTCTGGCCATGCGAATTCTGCGGTCCGCAAGAGTCGGGAGCGAGTGGGCTTTCATAATATTAACTTTGCATGAAAATAAATTGGAAAATTGTTGCCCGAAAATCAGTTTTTGGCGAACGAGGCGAATCAATTAGAAAGTCTACACAGACCGCAGGCCCAACACAACGCGGCCTCCAATATCCTAGCACTCCATCTTTGATTCCATTGTACATGTGGGTTTCCCTCCTACATTTTTATATTTTTTTTTTTCACCCCATCGCAGGTTTACAAGAGCGCCATTCAATTTCAATTTCGCGAACCGTCCACAGCGGATAGCCAGCAAATGGACAGTTATGAGGGGCAGGCCGGTGGATCTGGAGGAGGAGCGGGCGATGCCGGCGAGGATATATCCAGCGAGGCCAAGGAATCGGGCCCGGGTCTATTGGAGCTATCCAAACCATCGGAATTTCGTTTGAGAGCGCTTAAACAACAAAAGTATTTAACTTTTAACAAAGGCAGGGCACGGCATTCGCTGCTCCGCTGGCTCCTGGGCAAAAATCGGGGCTGGGTTTATTGGTTTCCAGCTGCCGGAGTGGAGGAGTGACTGGCTCCGATTGTGAATGTTGGCTTTCTTTTAACCCATTTTTTTCTCTTGATTTTTTCTGGTGCAAATTTTTTGTTTGCCTTTGTTTTGCGCTTATCGCTGGTTACCATCGGCCACAGTTGCCTTTTCTCCTCCTTTTTTTATCCCTTTTTGGCTGCAGAGAGAACCCTTTTCGCACATAAATTACAGCGCATCCGATAAGAAATTTTTATTTTTAATCGGATTTCATGCTACCATCAACGGCGCCGTTCTCCGTTGTCGTCGGTGGTGTGTTGTTGTCTTCTGGCCATTTTCCATTTGTTTGGCAGGCAGCATTTATGGCACATCCTGGCGCGCCTCATTCATCCTTGCATTGGCCTTTCATTGCCGCTTCGCGAATGCCACTTGACCGCCACAGTTAAATTTTTCCCCTTTCATTTCGGCCATCTTTTTTGTTTTTTGCTTTTTTTTGTTTCAGCCATGCAGATTAAAAAATGCCAACGCAGGAGGAGCCGGAGTTGGGTTCATGTCCATATCCTCGTCCACGTCCACGTCCAGCGGAGTCGCCTTTGTTACACTTTGTTGCCAACCCGTGTATTTGTTGCTCATTTTGCTTATCGGGGGCCTTTCATTACGCTTTGTGTTAATTTTGCATACTGACCGGCGTTAATTGTGTTTGTTTGTTTATTTGCTACTCCTTCCGATCCTTCTCTGCAGGAAGAAGAAAGAAATGGAGGCAGCGGCCAAGAAGGCGAAGGCCAAGAAACCTGATGGGGAACCCACGGAGGAAGATGATGAAGGCGACGCCCACAAAATCGAAGCCCATCTGTCATCCTCCGAGGAAGAGGGTAAGTAAATACGTTTTGCAAAGCGTTATAGGCATTTTACAGCGCGGGTAATATTACTTTTATCGGAAGGATCTGTGAAGTAATTATATAAAGAATATATTTTATATTTCGATCTTCTGTAGAAATGAAACTTACCCCTCCTATTCTTTACAGTGGAAGTAAAGGTCGAGAAGCTGACGATCGCCCAGCGTTGGGAGAAGATGCTCAGTGAGACGAAGGCCAAGGTGGAGGCTGAACATGCTGCCGAGGAAGCCACGCCCCCACGAATCACACCCATCCAGAGGCGGCTACTCAAGGAGATCGAGGAGTTCCAGAGTGAAATCACATGGACCATCAATCACATAGTCTGGGCCTTCAGTCTGCCTTCATCCTACATACTTCCAGGTCAGGAGGAGACCGAATTCGAGGATGCCATCATTCGTGTTCCTGTTGATCCTAAAAGACTGGACCTGGTGATCACCTATAGTCAACAACAACTGGAGGAAGTTGTCGACGGTTGGATTAAGTATCTCAAGAGGACAATGAAGACTTTGACCGATGCCAAGCTGGACGATTTCACGCCAATGGCCGAACACCGCTATTGGCACAAAATGGAGGTCGAGCTCTACGGAACTTTGGAGCAGCTGAAAACTGAATTCGTGGTGGCTGTGCTTCAGCGTTTGGCTGATGATAAGTCACCAGTTCTGGTTGAGTGGCACAATGTTCTGGAAAAGACACAGGCCCGCTTCAAGTTGGCCAAGGAAAATTCGGACTACTTAGGAACCATAATTGATTATCTGGAGGTGAGTTGTGTTTCATAAAAATACAAATTTATAACAAAGATTTAACCATTATATACCTACCAGTTTTTAAAGTTTGGTAACTCTAAAGTTTAAAGTTCTTTTACCGATTGGTAACACTGGCGCTCAATAAAACTAGTTCTTTTAAAAACCAAACCTGATAGTGGACAATTCTTAGGGCACTCCTTGCTTATTTTCTCCTTTTAAATTTAGATAGTTTTATAAGATAAATATATATTTAAAACCTATATAAATGCTTATATTAACTAATGGTTACCTTTTTCTCTTTTTACTTACCAGAAAGTACGAAGCTATGATAGCTTCAAGATGGTGGTGCTCCAGATCCCCAACATAATGGTTGGACTGCGCCACATTTGGACCATGTCCAGCCATTTTTGCCGTGATCCCGAGATGCAGGTGCTGCTCTGCCAGATCTCGAATGTGTTCGTCCAAAAGGTGAAGAGCATCATCAACTTTGAGAACATATTCAAGTAAGTAAATTTGCAAAGTGCTGCGCGTTTTTTGACTTATGAACTAATGATGATTGCGTGAGCTAAGATAGGGATGAGAATTATTAGGCCCATAAGTAATCGAACTGTTTTTACATCTCGTGACACTAACTATCAGAACTCATCCCTAACTTTTGATTTTTTTAAAAATATATTTTAAGTTAAAATTCCAAATTAGTTAAGAAATGAGCTCAACGGCTTATAATGCCTGAGTTAAAAATACTGTCACCTTGAGGAGGAAAATGGGAAAACCAATTTTCGCATTTTTGGTAAGGGGTACCATCATCCTTTTTTGCGAAAAATGGCAAAATTTTGACATTTTAAACTGTGAACACAGTTCGGCTAGGAATTCGAAGACAAACTAAATGAGATATGGGATTCCATATTCGGACTATTATTGGCTGAGTTATGGGAAAAATAGTTTCACCTTGAGGAGGAAAATGGGAGAAACCAATTTTCGCATTTTTGGTAAGGGGTACCATCATCCTTTTTTCCGAAAAATGGCAAAATTTTGACATTTTAAACTGTGAACACAGTTCGGCTAGGAATTCGAAGACAAACTCAATGAGATATGGGATTCCATATTCGGACTATTATTGGCTGAGTTATGGGAAAAATAGTTTCACCTTGAGGAAGAAAATGGGAGAAACCAATTTTCGCATTTTTGGTAAGGGGTACCATCATCCTTTTTTGCGAAAAATGGCAAAATTTTGACATTTTAAACTGTGAACACAGTTCGGCTAGGAATTCGAAGACAAACTAAATGAGATATGGTATTCCATATTCGGACTATTATTGGCTGAGTTATGGGAAAAATAGTTTCACCTTGAGGAGGAAAATGGGAGAAACCCATTTTCGCTTTTTTGGTAAGGGGTACTACTACCATCATCCTTTTTTGCGAAAAATGGCAACATTTTGACATTTTAAACTGTGAACACAGTTCGGCTAGGAATTCGAAGACAAACTAAATAAGATATAGGATTCCATATTCGGACTATTATTGGCTGAGTTATGGGAAAAATAGTTTCACCTTGAGGAGGAAAATGGGAGAAACCAATTTTCGCATTTTTGGTAAGGGGTACCATCATCCTTTTTTGCGAAAAATGGCAAAATTTTGACATTTTAAACTGTGAACACAGTTCGGCTAGGAATTCGAAGACAAACTAAATGAGATATGGTATTCCATATTCGGACTATTATTGGCTGAGTTATGGGAAAAATAGTTTCACCTTGAGGAGGAAAATGGGAGAAACCCATTTTCGCTTTTTTGGTAAGGGGTACTACTACCATCATCCTTTTTTGCGAAAAATGGCAAAATTTTGACATTTTAAACTGTGAACACAGTTCGGCTAGGAATTCGAAGACAAACTAAATAAGATATGGGATTCCATATTCGGACTATTATTGGCTGAGTTATGGGAAAAATAGTTTCACCTTGAGGAGGAAAATGGGAGAAACCAATTTTCGCATTTTTGGTAAGGGGTACCATCATCCTTTTTTGCGAAAAATGGCAAAATTTTGACATTTTAAACTGTGAACACAGTTCGGCTAGGAATTCGAAGACAAACTCAATGAGATATGGGATTCCATATTCGGACTATTATTGGCTGAGTTATGGGAAAAATAGTTTCACCTTGAGGAGGAAAATGGGAGAAACCAATTTTCGCATTTTTGGTAAGGGGTACCATCATCCTTTTTTGCGAAAAATGGCAAAATTTTGACATTTTAAACTGTGAACACAGTTCGGCTAGGAATTCGAAGACAAACTAAATAAGATATGGGATTCCATATTGGGACTATTATTGGCTGAGTTATGGGAAAAATAGTTTCACCTTGAGGAGGAAAATGGGAGAAACCAATTTTCGCATTTTTGGTAAGGGGTTGCAAAAAATGGCAAAATTTTACATTTTACATTCAACGAAGTATGAGATTCCATATTTGGACCACTATTGTCTTATGTATAGCAGTTTAGGATTAGCCGAAGAAGAAGGAATCTCTTAATATATACATATTCTTGTTAACAGGTTCTCGGCGACTTACACCTACGAAACCGCCACCAACTGTGCCAATTTACTGCGCTGCTGGAAGCAGGCTTACAAGCTCAGTCGCCAGCACATCGAAGATTCCGGAGCCGGATCCCGCTGGGAATTCGACCGAGTTGCGCTCTTTAACGAGGTTAATCACATCCATCGCGTGGCAGTGGACATTGCCTATGTTGGTCGTGTGTTCGTCCAGTACGAAAATCTATTCGGCCATCGATTGAAAGCCTGCATAGCGGACCCCTCAATTGTGGACAACCTGATGCGAAAGGTATATAGAATGCTGGACGATCTTATCAAGACCGTGGACTACGACATGTTCAGGCCTGGAAATTGGGAGAACTGGGAGTACTCGCTGGAGATGTTCAACAAGCGGCTGGAAATGGTGGAGATCGAAGCCAAGAATGTTATCGACCAGAGCATCAACTCGCTGTTGTCCTCCGAAAAGGGTCTAGATCTGGTCGTCAATGCCATGAATATTGATACCAGAGAAACTCTCCAGGAATTTGTATCAACCAAACACGAGAATCTTTTGCGCTTCTTTGTTACTGAAATAAATGCCGTGGAACGGGTTTTTACGGTAAGTTTTGAGAATTTAGGAATTTCTACTCTTTAAAACTCTTACATTGTTCTTTCAAAATAATATTAGAAATTAAAAAAATCACCGCCCATGGCCAAGCACCAACCGGCGAAAATAAGTGCCATCTTCTGGGCACGTTTACTCGGCAAGAAGCTAAAGACTTCGGTGCTAGCATTTAAAAGGGTTGAGGACGAGCCTGCGATCAAGAACAGCTTTCTGAAGCGCAGCTCTTTCAAGCAATATTTCGAGCTTATGACAGTGCTGTTCCAGTTTGAGAAGGTGCTCTTCGAGAACTTCATACAGAATGCCACGTACTTGGTGAACACCACAAATCGTTCTAATGTATTGACAATTCGCGTTTGCAAAGAAGCTACAAGTAAGTTTTAAAATAAATTGTTTTTACCACAAGAAACTAATTTTTTGTCGCCGCAGTGTCCTATATTTCGGAAGCTGTCCAAACCCTTAAATCAAAGCCCCGAGTGGAATTGCAGCTGAGCGGTGGTGAACGGCGCGAGACATCCATAAAGTCGACCCTAATGCCCGTACAATCGGAAGCTTTTAGCACTTATAGCGTCGCCGAATCGGGAGGAACGGAAATCAGTTCGGAGTCGGAGGATGATGGTGACCTGGTGGGCGACACATCACAGAAAAAGCTGATGTGCCGCATCAATAGACTGACCGTCCTGGTGGCCATGATCATGTGGATGGTCAGTAATACGCGAAAGGCCAATGTACAACTTCAAGAGTGCTCAGCATTCGTCAAAATGGTGAAAGAAAAGAAGCCAAAAGACGTTACGGCGATGGACAAGCACTGTGTGAGGACCTGTGAATGTAAGTCTTATTCGTTATTATTATTTTGTATATTTTTAATTGCACAATTTTTTTCTCAGTGATGCAGCGCGCGGCGTCTCAGTATCTGCTGCCCATTTGGCGTGAACTGGTGGGTGATAAAACTCTCATCGAGTTTGACATGGATTTCGTGGTCAATCTGAAGAGAGAGATCTTTGATGTCTTGTTTGAGGCTCAACAGTTTGAACACCTCGGCTTCACTCTGCCTGCGGTTTTACGTACGGCGATCATGAAAAAGGATCTGCTCTTCAAGGACTATGAAAGGGTGAGCGAGGTGGTCGACAGGTATAGGGCGATCATCAACAATCTTTCAATGTCCGAGGTGATCTTTCTGCGAGGGCACATCTACGACACGGAACTGTTTATTCAAATGGGCGTGGGTCGTTATACGTGGACCTCCTTCAATATTGGCAAATTCTGCGATCAAATCAACTCACAATTGCGCAAACTTACCTCTATTGTGTCGCAAATCGATTTTATTCGCCTGGATCTGCGCTCTCGCATCGATAGTATAAAAAGCTTTAATCTGTTTAACATTGACGAAGAACTCAAAGGTGCCAGAGATTCTTCGATGACTGGAAGTGATCGATCATCCATCTTAACCGACCGAAGGTCCCAGAGGTTCAAATCAGCCACAGGTGAAACTATTACAATGTTTAAGGTGGAAAAAGAGGATGCTGCGTTAGAAAAAGCGGAGCAAATCTGTGGCTCCGGCATATATCCTTGCCAAGGCTATTTTGAACTTCTGGAGGCTTCGCGTAATAAAAAGGCGGCTCAGATGAAGAAGCTATACGACTCCCTGGGTCCTGTGCTGGTCAAGCTGGAAAGCTTGGTATTGGGCACATTTTCCGGGAGATCAGATCGTATGAAGACCTACTATGAGTACTGGGAAGAGGAGACATTTAAGTGCATTGTTGAGTAAGGACTGTCTTTATTTTTCCTGGTATTCCCAATAAGTTATAAAAATCCATTCCAGCATGACATATCAGAATCTTAAGTGCTACATCAACCGTCTACTCTCGAGTAAACCCATGTTCGAGGTCAATGCTGTGCTTCTTATGTCAGAGATTGTTCTGGAGCCTTCGGTCCAGGAGCTGCAAAATACCATTGTTACAGCCACTAAGGACTACATCTCAAGGCTACGTATATTTACGCGTTGGATGACTGGGACTTGCATCGCCTGCCCACTCGTGGAACAGGGCAAGCCGTTCAAGTATAACTACACCTATTATGAGGACATCATCCAGATAAGATCCATTGTGGACCTGGTCATAAACATACACGATTTGGCTGTAAGAGTTGCCAACGAAGCCAGGACCTTTGTAGCGCAGTATGTATTTGTTATGTTTGAGGAAGAAAAAACGAAATTAATGCATTTCATCCGAAAGATTCCGCAAGTACTTCAATCTGTGGGCCTTTGAAAAGAGCTTCATTTGCCAGAAGTTCTTGGAGAAGCAGGTGACGCTCATCGAAATCGATGAGAAATTTACATTTTACTCGTCCATTGTGGAAACGCTGGCCAACACCCGCAAGTACCAGGACATCAAGTGTGTGCGCATAAATTTGCAGCCATTGCTGGATAGCATAACGCAACATGCCAAGGATTGGTGCACCACACTGGGTGAGGAGCTGTTGCGTCATGTCAACGAGAACATGAGGGCAATGCGTAACGAAATCAAAGTGAGTTTGGATTCTGCAAGATTTCACCAAACCCCATTTCCCCTTCCCAAACATTCTTGCTAATCTGTGCAAATCTGTGGCAGACCCTCAGCCTGAATCTCAACAAGACCACACGCGAGCTGGAGGACTTCAAGCTGGTCATGACCACGATTGGTACGGTGCAGTCGACGACGTTGTCTAACGAGCAGAAAATCCACGAAATGCAAGAAACCTTCACCATTCTCAGCGAGCACAAAATTATGGTAAGAATCAACTTGAATTTTTAGTTTCGTATCTTCGAAATGTTTGCTGATTTTATTCAGCTTTTTCGTTGAATTTTCCCATCCTAATTCAATCCTTCTAATAGCTGCACATCCCCCACGTTTAATGAAAGTTACTTAAGTCTGCCAACCATGGCGCGCTTATTTGTGTATTCAAATGAGCAGTTTTACAAAAATCCCATCGAAATCCCAGCCGAGCTGGACTGAGACTACTGTCACTGTTTCTATTTCTGTTTACATATGCATATTCGGCGGTCGGTCTGGCCAGGACCATTTGGAAATGGCTTTCCGCTTTTTGGCGCAACCACCGCACAAATGGTTACGTAAATGCAGCTGCCGCAGCAACAGGGCTATCCAGACCAGAGTCCATAGTCCATAGCCCATAGCCCATAGTCCAGATTAGGACCCGGACCCGGCCAATGCTGCGTATTCGAATCTGTGTCTGTGTCCTGGCCATTTTGGGATCCGTTCGCTCCGTTTCGTTTCGGTCCGTTCATTTATTGATGGCATTCCGTTGCGGCGGCGACGTCGCTTAGCTTTGGCCAGACAAAACGGAATTAACTTGCATTTTATATAAATTAATGAACGAATGAATGCATACACCCGCACTCAGGCACAGAGTAATATATGTACAGTTGGGCTTAAAAAAGTAGCTCTAAAGATTTGATCTATAAAATGGAAAGAAATCTTAAACGATCTAAAATACAAATAATTATTCTTAATTAAATATACAATCCTGCTTTAACTATATACCTTAAAAAAGTATCCTTAATGAGAACCCGAAAATCAAAGATATATTAACTTAAAAAAATGATTACATATTTATCGTTAGATATTGTATTGTTTTAAACATTTTTTAGGATTAAAATCTTAATTCTTATAGCTACTATGTTGACCTCACCTGTATATACTGGCATTGCAATTGCTCGAAAGGCCAAATGAAAATTTATGCGGTGGCGGCCCTGAAAGCTATGCTATAGTTTTTTTCCACTCCGGATTGTGGACTTTTGGTTGTGGGTTAAAAAAAAGAAGAAGGGGGGGAAGGGGTTGAACACCATGCTTCGCTGGTCGTTAGTGAATTTCGGCACTTTTCATTATTATTATTTGCACTCAGCCATAATTGAAGGGCACTGCTTAATTTTTATGTGCGTTGTATTTATATTTCGACTCTCAGTTTAATTCGCCACTGCCATTTCAGTTCCCCTACGAGGACATGCTGATGGCCCATCACCTGGAGAAGCGCTGGAAGAGGCTGTTCCTATCGGCCCTGTATCGCTATGAGAAGCTGCAACCAATTAAGCAGAAATTCGCCGACATGACTTCCGTCGAAATCGATGAGTTCTGCGATGATGTAAGTAGTCAGAGGAAAAGGAAGTCCCCGAAGGTCCTTCCTTTGGGCTGCGGCAATGGGATTAGGGCTGAGAACGAAGCTGAGGCTGCGCTGCCGACTTTGCATTTCCGCTATTTTGCGTTCTTTCTCTGCAATTCTGTTTTGTTTCCTCCCATTATTATTTCCTTTCAATGGCATTTTAATTGGATTTTTCCGCGCGCTCAACCATTATTGTCAATTGTTAGCGGCGACGGCGCTGCTGTCGTCAGCGTAAAATGAATTAACTTGAAGTGTTTATCATTTGAATTAGAGCGCAAGACGGATGTGGTGAATGGGTCAGAAGGCAGACACCCATTCCCTCTGCTACTGTATGCTGAACTAACCTTTTTTCCACTTTTTCCGTGACAGTTGGCAGAATTTATCAAGGATTACGATGAGAACGGACCGGGTTCTGTGGGTGCCGAACTGGAGCGAGGAGTGCGCCTAATGGATCCGTACGGCCAGAAAATCGAGGTACGAGAACGGCGACGAGAGGAGTTGGCCAATGCGGAGCGACTCTTCGATATGGCCATGGTCGACTATCATGAGTTTGCGCGGGTTCAAACAGAGTTTGAGGGACTGCAGCAGGTCAGTTTGTAGCCTATAGCGTAAAATATCAATAAGATAATTTTAAAACCCAATCCACTTGCAGCTGTACAAACTGTATAAGGCACAGAAATTTGCTCGCGAAGGATGGGGCAAGACCTTGTGGGCCGATCTGGATCCCAACGTACTGACCGAGGGCGTTGAGAGCTATCTGAAGGAGTTCCGGAAATTAACCAAGGCGGTGAGCTTTTTCTCCAGGGCGCGGAAAACTTTGCCAATTAAACAAAGTTTTTCGGCCTGCTTGGATTTTCATAAAATTACAGGACGCTTCGGAACAACAAAAGCAAAATACTTTTGAACTGTGAACTCACTGTGAAAGGCGTCTTATGATGCCACTTTTATGCTCAAGCATGTCGGGCTATTCGTATAGCCAAAAGAAAATCTCAGATTTTTAGAAATATCTGAGGTTTCCCCTTCGTTGGCTTTCCAAAGTTAACGAAAGTGAGGAACAATTCTATTCACTTGCTGGGTACTTAATTTTTTCATACCTATGGTTTTCATGAGGTTTCCCCAAAAGCTTTAGTTAAACAAGAAATGAGAATTTTCTGGCCACGCCTTGCAGCGACAAAATTTTGCACCTAAACTGATTATGACAAATTGATTTATTTACTTCACTAACAAGTTTTTGAGGAATTTCGCTGGCCGGGCCAAAAGTTTGTTGCAGCCAAAACTTTTCGCCCATCGCCCATACAAATGAAGTGGGCGTGACCCCTCCCAGGGGAGAGAGAGTAAGGAAGATGAGGGGGAGGACTCTAGGTGGATAGCTGGGCATCATAACTCCAGCGGAGACGAGATTAGTATGGCAAATATTTCAAAAGCACCGCGATTAATATAAATAGCGTAGAGGGTGCAAACAAATTTGAATATAATCATTCGACACGCACATATTTTAATGCAGTTTTATCGCGCATAATTTCGGCAGCCAGGCCCTAAAGCACAAACTACTACTGAAAGGCTCTACATAATCAGCGTCCTAAAATGTAAATCAATTTGTTCAATATTGAAAATAATTAAAATGCCAGCGGGCTGTCCATGTCCAAGTCCCCCCTCGCTCGCTCTCTATCGGCCATCCCTTCGACTTGTTGACAGTGTTGCTGTGTTGCTGTTGCTGCTGCTGTTGTTGCTATTTCAATTTATGTCCTGAATGGTCCGGAGTGCCATGCATTTTGCATGTGCAAACAAACGGACAGCAGCCCGGCATGCAAACAGAATGCGCTTTTTGGCTAACAGCAACGATGGGAGCATAGCTAAAACATAACCGAGACCAAAAACCACTGGCCACAGGACGCGCGTTCGTCATAATTCAATGGGGGCAACCGCAGGCAACAACCACACTATTGTTTCAGCTGATTTTCAGGCAGCTAACTAACCATCAACCACCCTTTAACCAACCGGAACTTTTCTCGTTTCCAGGTGCGCACTTTGCCAGTTGGCGTCCAACTGGAGATTCACATGAAACAGTTCAAGGGCACAGTACCGCTGATGGTTAGCCTCAAACACGAGGCTTTAAGGGAACGACATTGGCTGCAGTTGATGGAAAAGACGGGACAATATTTCGACATGTCCCCGGCTAGATTTACACTGGAGAATATGTTCGCCATGCAACTGCACAAGTACCAGGAGATTGCTGAGCAAATTCTTACCAATGCCATCAAGGAACTGCAAATCGAACGAGGTGTCCAGGCTGTCATTGAGACCTGGGCGACGATGTCCTTCAAGACCTTCAAACACTTCAAGGGATCGGAGGACCGTGGGTGGGTTTTGGGTCCTGTAGATGAGATCATGCAGATACTCGAGGACAATGCAATGAACCTTCAGTCCATGGGAGCCAGTCAGTAAGTACCTAAATTTGACAACCATAATAAGATATTGGTAAATGGTAAAAAGGGTATTTCCGATTAAATTGATAAAACCATAGTAAATTTCACATTAACCATATTTTATTTGCAGATTCATTGGCCCCTTTCTGGAGACGGTGAACAAATGGGAGCGGACCTTGGCCTTAATCTCGGAGATCATCGACGAGTGGTTGGTGGTGCAGCGCAAGTGGCTGTACCTAGAGGGAATATTCATTGGAGGCGATATTCGCACCCAGCTTCCTGAGGAAGCGCGGAAATTCGATGACATTGACAAGTCGTATCGCAGGGTGAGTAATCCGTGCTATTTGCTTGTTCTGGTTATTTGGTTATTGGGTTATTTGGCCACCAAAAGCGGGCCAGAACGCACACTTAGTATCTGGCTACAATTTATTTGAGTTGATTTAATGTGTGCCGACAATATGGCGACTCCTTACTTAACGGTAAACATAATACGCATGCAAACGACTGCTTTTGTGTATGCGTAATTGTGTAGCCCACACACACAATCAGACACTCATCGGAATATGCCAGGATATCCCAGGAGCAGTGGCAGAGGCACATTACACATACGCAACGTAAGCCAGAGCAGTGTTTACAAATGCCAAGCACTTTCACCTTCCACTACTGCCTCCGGGTTTCTCCTTTCTCCCCAGTGTACAAGTGTGCGTGTTGGGATAGATTTGTGTTTGTGTTTGGCGCTTAACTTCACTTAACCTTGCCAGCCACTGGATTCCTTCCTTCGTTTGCTTTACGTTTCATTTGCAACATTTGCCGCCATATTTGATGCCATTTGTGAAATGATTTATTATTTTGATTTGCTCTCGACATTCGTGTTAAGTTCTATACACTCTCGATGAAGTGGGCCACTTGTCTGGCTTGACCGACTCGAGGTCCTTGAATTGTAGAGCCACTCGAAGATTTAAATTACTTTACAAGCTTCTAATATTATAAGAGTTTGTTTGAGGGGTTTGATTAAATTGTTTATCAATTAAATGTATATTATTATTTATTATTATAAAATTACTACCTTAACAAATAGGTTTCTTACATTAATGCCATACAAACTCAAGTTTTAAAATTTAAAAATAGTTTCAGTAAAGTTAAGGGTATTCAAAATATCATGTATGATAAATTTGAGTTTTCCCACTTTCCTCTAATATGTTTGATTGTATTTGGGTTGGTCGTTGCGCTCATTGCTTTTCATAATAATTTACTGCCCTGACTGGCGATGCTGCTTTCAGCTTCCTGCTACATCTTCCTCTTCCATTGCAGATCATGGTCGATTGTGCCAAAAATCCGTTAGTGGTGCCATTCTGTACAATACCCGGTCGCTTAGTAGAAATACAGGGCCTGGGCATTGGCTTGGAAAATTGTCAGAAGTCGTTAAACGAATATTTGGACTCGAAGCGTCGCATTTTTCCGCGTTTCTATTTCATATCCACCGATGAGCTGCTCTCAATCCTGGGCAGCAGTGAGCCATCTGCAGTGCAGAACCACATCATTAAGGTGGGTATCGGGTGGGTTTTCCAGGCGTTCCGAAATCGCAACTTCAAGTTGGTGGGTGTGTTGCCTTTGCTGGTGTTGGTGGTGGTGGTGGTGACAACAACAGATTTGCCAAACTGCCAGTGACATTATTTTTATGTACAACGGGGCGTGTGGGTCTATATATAGTCGTATATATGAGTGTGGAGAGTCTTGCCATAAAAGTTAATGTCACTGTTTATTCGTTCTGGCCAATGTCCATGGCGGAAATTACGCCAATTTCTGCAACACATGCATGGGTTTCGTTTCGGAACGCTTGAGCCGTGGTAAATTTTTATGAATTTATTTGGCTTATAAATAATATTTTTTTTCTTTTCGCCTCCTTTCCGTTTGCATTGATTTTGCAATTTTCAGATGTACGACAATATCAAGTCGCTGCGCTTGGTCAAGGAGGGAAGCCAGACGATTGTTACCGGCATGATTTCCAGCGAGGGCGAGGTCATGGAGTTCCGGCATTCCGGTAGGTACACCCCAGATCCATTCGATTCGGGAAGCGGATTCTGGGTTCTGAATTCTGGATGCTGGATTCTGGACAATCCAGCATTCAGGCATCCACGCACTGATTGCCAATTTTAAAATTGAACTTTTTTATGGCAATATTGTCTGCTGGCTGCCGGCTGGCCAATTTCTTTTAATTAATTTGAAGCCAGTCGCAGTTGGCATCGCATTGGCATCGGCATCGGCATTGGCATGGGCATCATGGGCATCATGGGCATGGGCACATCAGCCATGCTGGAGATGATTGCTTCTTCTGTTCTCATTGCCATTGTTGTTGCTTTATTGTTTGTTGTATAACACTTATTGATATTGGCAACTGGGGCTTATTTATGCGGTTATTGTCTTTCCTTTTCGCTTGTCTTCCTTCGCGGGGGGATGAAAAACAGCCAGGGCAGCAGGACGCGTCGAGTACTGGATGAACGATGTCCTGGATGAAATGCGCCGCTCCAACCGCTTCATAAACAAGACGGCCATCTACGACTTTGGCACAGATCTGCAAATTTCAAGGTAAGTGCTACCGTCAGCTGGGCATAAAACATATTTTATGCCTGCCCTGTTCTGCGCTGTTCTGTCCTGTCCTGTCTTTCCGTTTCCTTTTCGCATCCTTCTGGGCCAGCATCCTTGGTACCAGAGTGACACTTCGGCAGCCAATTCCTTTTATGGCCGGCGATTTACATTGCGGGAAGTGAACTCCGCCGACTCTCATCCAGTTCCCACTCCGACCGGGACTGTATAATTTTGTCATTTCGCGCGATTTATTATTTTGTTTAAGCCGTGGGGCGCATGGCCAGGCATATTTATGGCCAATTGTATTAAATTGACAGTCATTGGGCACTTTCGATTTCGACTTTGTATGTTCACAGGCCCGACTGGCTAATGAACTACCAGGGAATGGTGGGACTGGCGGCGAGTCAAGTCTGGTGGACCGCCGAAGTGGAGGAAGCCTTCGACCAGGCCCAAAATCACGGCAACATGCGAGCCATGAAGGATTTCCTGGGCAAGAATAACTACCAAATTGAAGAGCTGGTCCTTAAAGTGCGCTCCAATCTTTCCCGTAATGATCGCCTGAAGTTTAAGGCTCAGTGCACAGTGGATGTCCATGCGAGGGATATCATAGATAATTTTGTGAGGGACAATGTCCTGGATGCCAGTGAATTCAGTTGGGAAAGTCAGCTGCGTTTCTACTGGGTAAAGTTCTACGACAACCTGCATGTGCTTCAGTGCTCTGGAAGCTTCGACTTTGGCTACGAATACATGGGTCTCAATGGTCGCCTGGTTATTACTCCCCTTACGGATCGTATTTACCTGACCATCACCCAAGCTCTGCTCATGAATCTTGGTGGAGCTCCGGCAGGACCAGCTGGAACGGGAAAAACTGAAACTGTCAAGGATCTGGCCAAGGCCATGGGTCTTCTCTGTGTGGTCACCAATTGCGGAGAGGGTATGGATTACCGTGCTGTAGGCACTATACTCTCTGGCTTGGTCCAGTGCGGTGCTTGGGGCTGCTTCGACGAGTTCAATCGAATCGACATCTCGGTACTCAGTGTGATATCCACCCAGTTGCAGACCATAAGAAACGGTCTAATAAGAAAACTAGATCGTTTTGTGGTATGTATATCTAGGATTTCATTTATTTGCTGTACTTAATAAACTTCTTTTCAGTTTGAGGGTGTAGAGATCCATCTAGATCCCAAGTGCGGCGTGTTTGTGACCATGAATCCAGGCTACGCTGGCCGCACGGAGCTGCCCGAGTCCGTGAAGGCTCTGTTCCGTCCAGTGACCTGTATCAAACCCGATCTAGAGTTGATCTGCTTGATCTCCCTGTTCTCTGATGGATTCTTGACTGCCAAAGTACTGGCCAAGAAGATGACTGTTTTGTATTCCCTGGCACAGGCTCAGCTGTCCAAGCAGTGCCATTACGATTGGGGCTTGAGATCCCTCAACTCAGTGCTGCGAATGGCTGGAGTGATGAAACGACAGTCAGAGGATCTGCCAGAAGCAGTGGTTCTAATGCGAGTGCTGCGTGATATGAACTTCCCCAAATTCGTTTTCGAGGATGTGCCATTATTTTTGGGACTTATCAAGGATCTGTTCCCGGGAATCGATTGTCCACGCATCGGTTATCCGGACTTTAATGCCGCCGTGCGTCATGTCCTGGTCAACGATGGCTACATACTGCTGGCCGATCAGGTGCGTCCTTCAACCAGTTTGTGCCCTGTCACTGTAGTGTTGTCAGTGGCAACAACCCATAGTCAGACGTGTCACTCTTCTGGTGGCCATCACTTTGACACTTTGTAAATTGCGCCATGTCGCATAATCGCAAATGAAGGAAATGTTACAAAGCATTTTGCACCGGCTCCGGTGACCTGGCCACGTCCAATTTCAACTTTGCCTCTTTTCCAACTGCTGACAATTTTCACTAATACAATTTTCCATTTCTTGTTCTCTCCTCCATCCACGTTGTACTCGAACTCCTGGCAAAAATCCTTGCCACTTTCATCAAACAAAATGTTGCGCAAATGTCGGCCACCTCCTGCCGGAAATGGACAACTGCTGGACATGCGATGTCACCCGGGCTCGGTGCTACCCGTCCGGGCAACATCATTTATGACAACTAAATCCCAACGATGGCAACGCCTCCGTCCTTATGAAAAACCCCTGGCTGGCTAAAAGGAGGACAAAGTGGTGCAAATGTACGAGACCATGATGACCCGGCACTCGACAATGTTGGTGGGCCCAACAGGTGGCGGGAAAACTGTCGTCATAAATGCTCTGGTCAAGGCGCAGACCCACATGGGCCTGCCCACCAAGTGCCTTGTGCTTAACCCCAAGGTAAGTGGACCTTTTGCTCCATTCCCCGAATTCAGGCAGGCGCACAAATTGCCTCCCCCTGCGAGCACTTTTAGTTTCCTCCGCCCGTTATGAGCTTTGGTGCATGTCCTTTGGCCTCGTCCTGTCTTCAAATTGCAGTTCTCTTTCTGTTTTTCGCATTTTGCTTTGGCAAATCTGAGTTGTTAAGTGCTTGGGAAATTGTTCAATTGCATGGACTGTAATTACTCGATGCAATATTGAAAAAAGCATCGATACTGCAATTTCGAAGCAATCAAACTTCGGTCCAAGCAAACGAAAAGAGCTTCATTACTGTGCATGCATTAGGCTTTAAGCAAACATTCGACCATGTGCGAGGATGTTTATCATAACATTACTTTTTTGTATTGACAGGCCTGTTCTGTGATTGAATTATACGGCTTTTTGGATATGGAAACGAGGGATTGGATTGATGGATTGTTTTCAAATATATTCCGTGAAATGAATAAGCCCATCGAGCGTGAGGTACGTGAATGGGGACTCCTTTATTGGGTGGGATTAGGGAGAGCAGACTCTCCGATGCCAAACACCTGGGCAGGTGCGGGTGCCAATCCGCCGGGAATTAAAGTGCAGCATCAGCGAATCCGCATCCGACAACGACCACGTTCAATGTCATTTCGTGTTCGGGCTCAAATGCAGGTGCTTGGTGGTTGCACCGCATCATTCATGCGGAAATCGCATTCATACAGTAATAAGCCGGGATTGCATAACAACTAGTATAGGGCATATGGGTTTGAGAGAAATCAAAGTCTGAAATAGAATATTTAAATTTGTTCACTTCTTATCTAAGAATTCGCTTTTTTCTTTACAATGTATAATTATTATAGAAATTATATACCAAGTTTTGCCCAGGTAATGTATCTCAACATTTCCTACAGTTAAAAATTGCAAGTAATTACTTTTAAAACTTAAAAGCTTTATAAAGATATTTAGCTATATTAAGCATAGGCTTGTTAAAACCAATTTTGTAGGGTACATTTAAAAAAGAAAACCATTTCGCGCTATTTTTTATTGAGTGAATCCCTGCTGATTTTCGCATCGGAGCCCATTCATTCGGCTCTGCAGAGTAATCATTCGTGGGTGGAAAGCTAACTGGGGCGTTGGTGTCGACGAGAACTCCGGTGACAGCCGTTGAGTAACGCACTTAGGCTAATGCAACCCAATGCCAACTCATCGACAGGAGCGACGCTACGCCTGCTTCGATGGAGATGTGGATGCCCTGTGGATCGAAAACATGAACTCGGTGATGGATGATAACAAGCTGCTGACTCTTGCGAACGGCGAGCGCATCCGTCTGGAGAACTACTGTGCCCTGCTCTTCGAAGTGGGTAACCTGAACTATGCCTCCCCAGCTACAGTCTCCCGTGCAGGAATGGTGTACGTGGATCCGAAGAATCTGCGCTACAGTCCTTATTGGCAGCGATGGGTTCTAACCCGACCCGAGGCTCAGCGGGAACTCCTCAACGACTTCTTTGAAAAGATCATCACGCAGACCATAGCCTTCATTCTGGAGGGTCTAGATGGTACTACACAAGGCAATCCCCTGAAGCTAGTCATTATGCAGACTGACCTCAACATGGTCACGCAGTTCTGTAACCTCTACGACGCCTTGTTACCCAACTTTGTAATGGATAGTAAGAACTATGATGAGCCAGTGGCACAGACCTACAACACAGACAGTCTGGAGTGCTGTTTCCTGCAGGCTGTTTACGGCTCCATGGGTGCTTGTCTAGTGGAAAAACATCAGCCCGTTTTCGATGAGTATATGAAACGAATTTCTGGATTCCCACTGGTGGCTGACACGCCGGAGAATCCTGCCTCTGGGGGACAGTTTCCACAGTGCAAGCCCACACTGTATGACTACTTTTGGGACGTCAAGGACAACTGTTGGAAGGCCTGGGAATGGGTGGTGCAGCCCTATTCGCACGACCCTCAGGTGAAGTTCAGCGAGATCCTGGTACCCACGGTGGACAACACGCGAACCAATCGGGCCCTTAGCTTGATGAGTGAGGTGAGTGCCGCTCGAATGTTTGGGGATGTCATTACTCCCAGCTTCCGGGATATGCTTTATTAATGTTTGTCCCTATTTCGGTTTCCTTACTCCAACTCCAACTCCATTCACGTTTACAGATCAAACGACCCGTTCTGCTTGTGGGCGAGGCTGGTACATCAAAGACGGCTACCATCATGCAATATTTGCGCAATCTCAATCCGAGTGTCAACGTAATTGAAAAATCTCTCTGACAAACGTCGCGTTCCCGGCTAACATGGCGACCCCATCCTTTTCGCATCCCTTTCAGGTCATACTCAATATTAATTTTTCATCGAGAACCTCCTCGCTGGATGTGCAGCACACCCTGGAGGCGGCCGTGGAGAAACGCACCAAGGATACGTACGGGCCACCGATGGGCAAGAGAATTGCCTGCTTTATTGATGACATGAACATGCCGCAGGTGGATGAGTGAGTTCGCGTCGTTATAGCGGGAGTGATAGAGTGACAAATTCCTGTTCCATCTCCTGTCGTTCTTTTCTCTCTCCCACAGATATGGCACCCAGCAGCCAATTGCCTTACTAAAGCTATTCTTCGAACGCGGCGGAATGTACGACCGCGACAAGGATCTTAACTGGAAGAAGTTTAAGGACCTCACCTTCTACGCAGCCATGGGAACGGCGGGTGGCGGACGAAACGAAGTGGATCCGCGGTTTATCAGCATGTTCTCCACCTATAATATTGTATTCCCCAACGATGAATCCCTCATCCAGATCTACTCCTCCATCTTTAAGGGCCACATGCAATTTGTAAAGTTCCAAGATCGCTATATGCCCATAGCGGACATGATTGTCCATATGACATTAAAACTTTTCAAGGTACGTTGATATTTTATTTACAAAGGTGTCACAGTAATATTAGCCAAGGAAATCTACAGATTAAAGCTAAGAGTCCACAGAGATTTCTTAAAATATCAATCAAATTTCTATCTCAAGTAATGTAAGCATTATGTCTACGCAATCCCATTAGCGAAGGCATTTTTGTGACATTTTATAAATATTTCTGTGACACCGATGTAAGCATTTTCCATAGCATATATGTATTTATCTAAATTTATTTCAATACCGGAGAACACCTTGACTGCATTCAGTGTAAATTTAGTAGAAGAAATCAATTCCTGAATAATGCTTTAAGGCCTCTCACAAATTTTATGAAATTCGATTTACATATGCAAATAACGACAATTTTTCATAATCTGCTTTGCCGTGCCGCCCACCACATGCCCTGTCCCGCCTCGACCCGCCTCGTTGAACTCCTCACGCCCCCTCTCGCTGTACAATGGAAATGGAAATTATTCAATGGTCTGTAATGCACTACGACGTCGGGCTTCGTCGTCCTCTCCATCGTCCTTGTTCTCAATCTCGTAGCTGCTCCATTGGTTTTTCGAGTGCAACTCAGTGCCGTAGTCGCCGTAGACCCACCCGTATTTGCACCACCAATCCACTCCACTCCACTCCAAAGCCACTCCACTCTGTCCTCACAATGGTCACCCGCCTCGACGGCTGCCTAGTTGACTGTATCTGGGCCTCCGGCTCTGGCTCTTGCCCTGGTTGTGGATGTATCTGTATCTCGTTCTGGTTCTGGCCTGGCCCTCTGTGCTCGTTTTGCCTATCTCTGCCGGAATATCTTGGCCGGAGCAAAATTTGATTATGTTCAAGTATTGACCTGCAAAGAGATGGCTCTTTTCGCAGCTGTGGGCGTGGCACCGTAGCGGAGGCATTAGTTTATGGTCCTTTTAACAATTGTTGACACTAAAATATTATCGCATTTCATTGCGTACAGATAAAAATGCATTTGTCGCCGCAATTGCCACAAGCAGACTGGGTAGTAGCATGCTACTGGAAGGGCCCTTCCATATCCGAAAAATGTTGGGTAAAAATGATTTACTTACACCTGCCCTGTCCCTTCGTCCACCGTCCCAGAGGAGCTCCTAGTTCGTATGTCTTCTTTACACACTAAGGGCAAGGATATTAATGCGCCACGAAATGGAGTGAAATGAATTATTTGAATAGAATTGCCGTTACTCAGAAGCGCGCTCTGCTGGTGCGGCGGCTGCAACTCGATAATGGCTGTAAATTCAGCAACTTGGCAATGTCCCCAAAGGGCGAGTGGGAAGTCCTGGCTGTGTCCCTTGTGAACGCATATTGCTAGTCGAGATAAAATTGATTTGTGTGTAGTTTGTCCGGGGGTCCGTGTGGTGTGTATGTTGGGTGCGGGATACATGGGTCATTGTCTGGTTAGGCCTGCTTATGCTAATTGCTTCCTGACCCGCAGATGGTGATTGTGGAACTGCCGCCGACCCCCTCCAAGTTCCACTACATTTTTAATCTGAAGGATCTGTCTCGCATCTTCGCGGGAATGCTGCTGATCGAACCCACTTGCTTCAAGAGCCTGAGGGACTTGATCAGGGTTTGGCGAAATGAGTACACTAGGATCATATGCGATCGTCTGATAGCCGACAACGTATGTAGAGACCAATACATAAATACCTTAATTAAAAATGATGCTAAATCCTTAATTCTAGGACATCACGAATGTGCGACGTAGTCTTGCCGCGGAGGTAGCCGAACGTTTTCCACCCTCCTTTGAGGAAGAACATGGGTTCATTGATGCAGCAGCAGCCGAGGCTGAGGCACAGGCTCGCCTGCTCTACGAGCCATCCAAGGCGGACTTAGACTTCGGAGAGGAAGAGGGTGAAGAAGAAGAAGAGGGAGAGGGGGAGGCCCCCCAGGTGATATTATCGCTCAAGGACTATGTCCTGCGTGATCCGCTGCTCTTTGGAGATTTTAGAAACTTCACTAATGAATCGGAGGCCCGGTTGTACGAGGATCTGCTAGACTACAACTCCGTTTACTTCCTATTCACGGAGATCCTTGACGAATACTGTGAACGCAAGCAAAAGATGACACTGGTCCTCTTTGAGGATTGTCTGGAACATTTGACCAGAGTGCACCGCACGTTGCGCATGAATCGTGGACATGTCCTGCTCATTGGCGTCGGTGGCAGTGGCAAAAAATGTATCACTCGGCTGGCCGCCTTCGCAGCAGAATGTGATGTCTTCGAAATAACCATATCGCGCGGTTACAATGAAGCCGCCTTCCGCGAGGATCTCAAAGGTCCTGTACACCATAGCGGGTGTAAAGCGTAAGAAGGTTGTGTTCTTGTTCACGGGAGCACAGGTTGCGGAGGAGGGTTTCCTGGAGTTGATAAACAACATACTAACCGTTGGTCAAGTGCCAGCCTTATTCCCTGACGAAGACAAGGATGGCATTGTTAACCAGGTGCGCAAGTTTGCCGAAGAGGATGGAGTTTCGGCTTCCAAGTAAGTGGAGGAGGAGGAGTCCTTATAAATAGCAATTTATTCCCGATTTCTTCCCTCCACAGAGACGCGGTTTGGGGCTACTTCCTGCGCACCTGTGCTGAAAATTTGCACGTGGTTCTTTGTATGTCTCCAGCTGGCGATGCCCTGCGCAATCGATGCCGCAACTTCCCGGGTCTCATCGGCAGCACCTACATCGACTGGGTGTTCCCATGGCCCCGACAGGCGCTGTATGCGGTAGCCAAGCTCTTCCTGACCGAGCACAGTCTGATTCCGGCCGAACACAGAGATGCCATCGTAGAGCATGTGGTCCATGTGCACACCAGCATACAGCAGTACTCGAAGGACTACCTGGCCAAACTGAGACGAAACAACTTTGTGACCCCAAAACACTATCTGGACTATATCAACACTTACAGGGGATTGTTGGGTAATCAGAAAAACTAATCATTAGTTGGAAAATATATATTAATCTTCTTTTTTACAGAGGAAAAGGCCAAGTTCATCACCCAGCAACGTTCCCGTCTCGGTGAAGGCATCAAGAAAATCGAGGAGGCTTCCGTGCAAATCGACGAGCTGCGAATTATTGTCACGGAGCAGAAAAAGAACGTGGCAGTTGCCTCGGAGGAGTGCGAGGCCATGTTGGTCACCATCGAATCATCCACGCAGAAGGCAAACATCAAGAAGGCCGAGGCATCTGAGAAATCCGTTGAGGTTGAGATAAAGGGAAAACAAATTGCCATTGAAAAGGACGAGGCCGAGGAGATCCTGGCAGAGGCGATGCCGGCTCTCGAAGAAGCCAGGTTGGCTCTATCCCAGCTCGAAAAGGCGCAGATCACTGAAATCCGATCCTTCGCTACGCCCCCGGCAGCCGTGCAAGTGGTCTGCGAGTGTGTGGCTATTCTGAAGGGCTACAAAGAAATTAATTGGAAGAGTGCCAAAGGAATGATGAGCGACGTGAACTTCCTGAAGAGCTTGATGGAAATGGATTGTGAAGCCTTGACACAAAAGCAGATAACCTCGTGCCGACAGCACATGAAGACTGGAAACCTGGAGGACATGGGCAAGATCTCCATTGCTGGCGCGGGATTACTTAGATTCGTCAGAGCTGTGTTGGGCTTCTTTGATGTATATAAGGAAGTCAAGCCAAAGAAGGAACGCCTGGACTTCCTTGTGGAAGAGCAAGAGGTGCAGATCAAGCTGCTCAATCATCTGAACTCCGAGATCCAGAAGTTGGAGGAGAAACTGACACAATTGAATGAGAACTATGCTACCTCCATGAAACAGATGCGTGCTCTCACCGAGATGATGCAGCAAGCGGAGCGTCGCCTAATAGCGTCGGATAAGCTAATCAGTGGTTTGACTTCAGAGTTGATCCGATGGAGCAAGGAGATGGCCAGTCTGGGTCAGCAGCTCATCGACAGCGTGGGCGTGTGCCTGATCAGTGCTTCGTTCTTGGCCTACACTGGCGCATTTACTTGGGAGTTCCGTAAGGCAATGGTCTTTGACGATTGGCTGGAAGACATTGTGTCAATGGGAATACCCATACAGCTTCCTTTTAAGATCGATGGCTATCTGACCACCGATGTTGAGGTCTCACAATGGAGTAACGAGGGTCTTCCTCCCGACGAGCTATCTATTCAGAACGGCATTCTCACCATGCGGGCATCTCGTTTCCCGCTCTGCATTGATCCCCAGCTTCAGGCGCTGCAGTGGATTCGGAAGAGAGAGTTCCGCAACAATCTTAAAGTGCTCTCCTTCAGTGACTTTGACTTCCTCAAGCAGCTGGAGATGTCCATTATGTACGGAACTCCAGTTCTCTTTGAGGATGTGGACGATTATATAGACCCGGTGATCGACGACATCCTGCAGAAGAACATCCGCGTTCAGGGGGGTCGAAAGTTTGTTATGCTTGGTGACAAAGAAGTGGACTGGGATCCTGGCTTCCGAGTGTACTTAACTACCAAGTTCTCTAATCCCAAGTTTGATCCGGCTGTGTATGCCAAGGCGCTCGTTATTAACTACACGGTAACGCAAACTGGATTGGAGGATCAGCTGCTGAGCGTGGTGGTGGGCACAGAGCGACCGGATCTGGAGGCTCAACGAGAAACCTTGATTGCTCAGACCAGCGAAAACAAACAACTGCTACAGCAACTAGAAGACTCACTGCTGCGCGAGTTGTCCACCTCGACGGGTAACATGCTGGACAATGTGGAACTGATAGAAACTCTGGAGAACACAAAGACCAAAGCGGGAGTTGTCATGGAACAACTGAAGCTAGCGGCGGATACCGCAGCGGACATTGAAGTTCTGCGAAACGGATACCGGCCGGCGGCCAAACGTGGAGCTGTACTTTTCTTTGCCCTTTCGGACATGGCCACCGTTAATAGCATGTACCAATACGCCCTAGCCGCCTACTTAGACGTCTTCGTATACTCACTGCGAAAGGCCGTGCCGGATGCTAGTCTTAACAAGCGACTTAATAACATCATCAAGACGTTGACAGAAAATGTCTACAGCTACGGCTGCACGGGAATCTTCGAAAGGCACAAGCTACTGTTCTCCTTCCAGATAGCCACCAAACTGGCCCAGCGGGATGGCATCTTGCTGCAGTCCGAGCTCGACTTCTTCATCAAGGGCAGCATTGCGCTGACCAAGAGCGAGCGCGCCAATCCATGCAAGTGGTTGAGTGAAAAGAGCTGGGAGGATGTGCTCAAGTTGGCCTTCGATTTCCCAGAGTCTTTCGGCACCCTGCCAGACCACTTTGGTCGTTTCCTGACCGAATGGAAGGAGGTAAGTTGGACTTCGGTTTATCTCGGAGAATAGTAAAGAATTTTGAAATTTTTAAGATGATTTACTGTTTGCTTGAAGTACTTATTTTATTACTTTTGTAAAACTTTGAATAACTTTACTTTAATTCTTCGAATTCTTTTATGCTCGATTAGAAAGAAGCTCTTTTTAAGAGTTCTGTTTGTTTGATTTCAACAGTAGAAGAACTGATTATTTTCTTGGTATAATAATCATCTGTATCTTAAAGGAAGAACTTAAACTCAACATAAGGCCACCAACCTTTAAAGGAATACTTTAAATGCTATTTAACTGGCCAAGAAGCACAGCTACTGAACCTCAATATAGGTTCAGCCGTACGATGTTAAATGTTCATGTTTTCCATACTTTTTGTATTTTCTTTTCCGATTTTCCCGCTGCTCGCTTGGGTGCATCATCTTCAACGTCAACGTCAACTCCGATGCCGTTATCAAATTGCTGCTACTGCTGTTCTGTGGACGGTGCTATAAAATGCACAACAACAACAACGACGATGGCCCAACAACAATAAACATCCACCAACATCCCAACAACCAAACAACCCAACAACTTGGACTCGGATGGTCGATGGGAACGAAACTGCTTCTGATTCTGATTCTGACTGGCATGTGGCATTCACTGACTTCCGTTCCGTTGCCGACGCTCATTTTGCCTGCACTTATCGCCATCGCCATCGTCATCCGAATGCCCATGAACTGGGTTCTGTGGATTCTCGTACTTGGTCCTTGGCCCTGTGTCCTGCGTCCTGCCCATCGTTCAGTGGTTCGACTTGGAGAATCCTGAGGAGGTGGCATGTCCGGGCGACTACAACATCAAATGCACTGCATTCCAGGCAAGTGCTGCGTCCTGCCGCTGCTGTGTATTCATCCACTCGCTTTGCATGCTTTCAGCTTCGAGTGGTCCTGGCCAGGAGCTGCTCCTCCAACTCTCTGGCTCCTCGGATACTCCTCCTGAGCTGCTGTTGCTGTTGCTTTTGCCCGTTTGCCATTGAGCGTTATTGGATTTCGTACTTTATGCCCGTTTCTAGTGGATTATTATGTACAAGCCAAGCCCAAACCAAACCCATATCCATACCAAAAAGGACACCACTTTGGCAAGGGGGCGTTTAGTTTTACTCGACTTTTGCTACGTCCTGCAACTTTGGCGCACATTTTCCTCTCAAGTTATTAGCAGCCTGTTTTTGTCAGCCAGCATGCCTGGCAGCATCTCTATATATGGATGTCTCTCTGGCTCTCTGGGTGTCTGTGTGCATTACCATATTTTATCAATTTTCCAAACCATTAGATGAGCGGCAATTTACGCCCGCAGTCGCACTTGAAACCAGCGCCAAGCGAAGCGAGCCCAATTTGCACTTGAGCTGTGCTCGAAACCGCAGAAACCGTTGGCAACACCCAAAAGCAACAGCAATAGCAACAATGGAGCAGCTACTGGCCAACTATGGAGGACTGATGACGAGCTGTCGTCGGCTCATTGTCATTTGCGGGTATTAAAATGTCTAAAGCTCAAGGATTTCCTTCCTCCCATCTCGCCCACAGAAATTAATGTTCCTTCGCTGCTTCCGCGTGGATCGCATCTTCCGTTGTATAAATCAATATATAGTCGAAACGATGGATGAGTTCTATATTATGCCACCGGTGGTGAGCTTTACTGCCATATTTGAACAGACCTCCAGCACGATTCCTGTCTGTTTCATCCTGAGTGCCGGCTCAGATCCTACCAATGATCTTATCAAACTGGCGGATGCTATCGTTGGCATGTCCAACTTCTGTCACATATCCCTTGGACAGGGCCAGGAAAAGGCCGCCTTAAGATTACTGGATGGTGCCATTAAACAAGGAATGTGGCTTATGTTGCAAAACGGACACCTGCTGATTAGGTTCGTGCGTGAGCTGGAGAAGTATCTGGATCGCATCGAGAATCCGCATCCGGACTTCAGGCTGTGGTTAACCACAGATCCCACACCAACATTCCCCATTGGCATTCTGCAGAAGTCCCTAAAGGGTTAGTACATACTTAGCTGCACTCCACTGACAAGTTAACCCATTCCTTTACAGTGGTCACTGAGCCACCCAACGGTCTCAAGCTGAATCTGCGCTCCACGTACTTCAAAGTGCGTCAGGAGCGCCTCGAGAGCTGCCCGCATCAAGCATTCCGACCACTGGTCTATGTGCTAGCCTTCTTCCATGCCGTCGTCCAAGTAAGTGAACCAGTAATAGTAAGCCGTAGATATCGCTATTTACAGATGGAGCCCAGCTGGTCGAGTGTGTGGAGTTGTTTATTTATTAATCTCTTAATTTCTAGCAGCTGAAAGCTTTTCAGAGTGAAGTTGCACAATTGATGGAGCAGCAGCAGTTGCAGCAAATTGATATTGATCGTTCAGTTGGAGGCACTTCGATTAATTTGTGTAACCATTTCCCATCCGCAGGAACGTCGCAAGTACGACAAACTGGGCTGGAATATAGCATACGATTTCAACGACACCGATTTCGAAGTGTGCACCGAAATCCTGCGCACTTACCTTACGCGATGTGGCACCGGAAAAATACCCTGGAATAGTTTGAAGTACCTAATTGGCGAGGTGATGTATGGTGGACGGGTCATCGATGACTTTGACCGGCGCATAACCAACACCTACATGAATGAGTACATGGGCGACTTTCTGTTCGACGAGTTTAAGGTATTCCACTTTTATGAGGACGAAAACGTGGACTATTGCCTGCCGGAAGAGGAGACCATACTGAAGGAGGACTATATAGGTGAGCGTTGGGAATTGGGAGAGTGGAGATCCCTGGGCTATTTACATATGTAATGCATTGATAACAGCGCACATCGACAAACTGCCGCTGGTCAACAAGCCGGATGTATTTGGTTTGCATCCGAACGCGGAAATCGGTTATTACACAATGGCGGCACGCAACATTTGGAACAGTTTGATTGAGCTGCAGCCGCAGACTGGTGAGTGGCCATCCTGGTCGGATCCAATCCAATATTTAACCGCCATACACCCGCGGGCATATCTGCTCGAGAGATAGCATCCCGCACAGAAACCCACATATTACCCTGGTTATCGCACGCACTTACTTCCCCCGCCTAACAGTTGATAATTCGAATCGGAATCGGAAAAAAGTAATGATAATAATGTAATATAGATATGAGCAGAGGGAACCCACACAAACACGTATATAGTAAATGGTAAATGGTTCAATTTGCATGCAACGTGTGCCAATTGTCAGCCGTTTATTACATTTTATCTTGTTGATTTTCATTCGGGCGCTCTTTCTCTCTGTGCTATGCTATGTTGTATTTTTGGCATGTTGAATTTTTAATTTAATTTAATTAATTAGTTGCGGTTTTGCAATTAACTTTATTGCATGCGCCATTATTGCCGGCGCACAACAGCAATGCACACATTAAAAATTAAAATAGAACCACACACGTAGCCCACATGGGTCGGGTCAGATTGGAGGGCAGTGCACAGGCTACATGTATGCCTAGATATATATTTGTGTATACATATATATATATCCTCATTCCCATTCCCATTCCCATCGGTATTCACTCACTTTCATCGGATTGCCGCAAATCGCAGCGAATCGAGTTCAAACCTCACCGCAGCAACCGCCATCAGATGTACCAAAAAATGGTGAAAACGTCACACAAAAGTCGATAATTTTGCGTTACGGGCTTAAACGTGTTAAAACCGCCATCAGAGTTCACTTTCCACTCCACGCCCCAACTACCACCCACTTTTGCATACCGCACCCTCTCACAATCATGCATATTTATATATGTGTGTGTGGCCTTGTAAATAATTGTATATACAATTTGAAATACTTTTTTAAATATATTCGCACACATGAAGTGACCAAGTGGACACCACCGACCGAAGTCAATACTGGTAAAGTATTCAGCGTCAACAGTAAAGCTACCCTCACCATCGCCACCATTTAGTGTAAATAAAAATAATAATAAGAACAAATATTTCCACTGATTAAAAATCGAGTTCAACCATTTTATTTCAATTCATCGAGATACGCACCAAGATACGTGCTAGCGAAAAGGTTCAGCTTTATGGAAGCTTCAATACGCTACTGATGAAACGAAAAAATCGAATTTAACATATCTAAATTTTAACTACCTTTTTTTGTACATACACTTTATTGGTAATCTGTATTTCTTCTCTACAAATTAGTCTTCAAAGTGGAGATCACTTAATGTTAATTTTATTTACCCACAAGGTGGCTTAATTTTCTTAAGAATTAAAACACCAATATGCTCTATGCGAGGAGCAGCTCTCTGAAAAATTCAAATAATTTGCATATTCATGAGCTTTAGTATTTGCTAATTGACACTTTAACAAAAAATAAAGCGGGGAACGAAAAAATGCTATTTGGGTGCCAGATAAAGGGGAAAATTAATAAAATCAAGCGAAATGGAGGGAGGAGAAGGACGTTGGGAAAAAGGCAATTGGAAAAACCACAGGCTCTGCATATATTACTGCGGCATTTTCTTTGCCTTCGTCCTGACACCTGCCAGCAGCACCACAATCCCTACTGATGTTCTCCCTTTTTTCGGTGGATGTTCCATTCAGGCGAGGGAACCGGAGGAATCAGCCGCGACGACTTCATCGACTCGGTGGCAGCCGGCATACTGAAGAAACTACCTCCCGCCTTTGAGACGTGGCGCATACGCAAACAGATCCAGATGAGCCTGTCACCCACCGGTGTGGTCCTTCTACAGGAGCTGGACCGCTTTAATCTGCTGGTCGTGCGGATCAAGAAGACGTTGGAGCTGCTGCGCAAGGTAACGAACTAACTAAATATATATATTTTGAGGGGATTTTCTCGTATATGGCTGTCAATAGAGGCCGCACATAAATCCTTCAGCCTTGTTTTGCATTTCGTATTTGTTTATGCATTTGCCAACTTGGCTGACTACCAAGCAAACAATGTCCAAATTTGAATGTGGGCGATGGGAGATAGAGGTCGGAGGATGAGCTTTAGAAGTTGGGAGTTGGGGGATCCCAACCCCAAGCTAAGGCTGCATTTTGTTGCCAAAATAAATTTACAAATGCAAATGAACTCGGGGCGGCGGGCTTTTGTCTTGGCCCCGAGATCTGCAGTCACGCCCACACATGTGCCTCTCCATTGTGCCTTTTAATTTAATTGAATGCTCTCCGCAGGCCATTGCCGGCGAAATCGGCATGGACAATGTGCTGGACAACATTGCCAACTCGTTGTTCAATGGCCTCCTGCCAGCCGCGTGGAGCAAGTTGGCGCCGGCGACATGCAAACAGTTGGCCAGCTGGCTGGAGCATCTGCGGGTGAGTTCAAGAGACGGGTCCTTCCATCCAATCCTTTCACAGGCGCGCTGCTCATTAATCAGCTAAGCGCAAAATCAATCAAGGTGAGTTCGTGTCCACTAATCAGCCTTTCTGTCTATCGTTCGCACAGCTCCGGGCCGTGCAATACAAATACTGGACGCTTTCAGGAGAGCCCCTGGTCATGTGGTTGTCGGGGCTGCATATACCACAGAGTTATCTCACGGCCCTGGTGCAGGTGAGTCTGCATTGTCACGCCTTCATTGCTCGTGCTCTCCCTGTACACTTTAAAACAAAAAACTTTTTATTAAAAAATAGGGATTTAAGAAGTAAATTTCTTAAACTTTTTTTTTATATTTTTTGTAGCATAGAAAATCAAAGAAAATCATTTTTAAGTTATCATTAACATTTCCTGTTTAATATTCTCCGAGTGTAATTTTCTATTTTCGCAGATTGCCTGTCGCCGCAACGCCTGGCCGCTGGATCGTTCCACGCTTTTCACCTACGTAACCAAGTTTGCGGACCCCGACGATGTGGAGGAGCGTCCTGTGACGGTGAGTAGGAGCGATACTTCCTAGCCTCATCCTGTTTCCCCAATGTTCTAAATGCAAAACGATGACCCAACTCCATTTTGGTTCAAGGGCTGGCACTAATTTCGTAATTAGGAATTCTGTTTGCATTTTAATCGCTCAACTTTTTGCAGGGCTGCCTTGTGCACGGTCTGTACATCGAGGGCGGGCGCTTTGACATGGCCACTAATCAGCTGGCGCGTTCTCATCCCAAGGTTCTGGTCGAGGAGTTAGCCATTCTCGCCGTGGAGCCCATCGAGGCGCACCGTCTCAAGCTGCAGGTCTGTATGGGGTTTTTTCGGGTTCTGGGTGGGATTGCGATGGGTTAGCCGGGATAGCCAGGATAGCTACCGTCTGGCAATGACAAGTACTAATGTGCTCTTGTATCTACATATGCCGGAGAACGCCGGACAACGGGCGGGGCGTGGCTGCGCTGATATTTGTTTAAATGCATCGCACTAAATTACGACCAGCATCCGCAAGACCTCCCGGCCAACTAATGGGGCAACTGTTGTGCTAATTGTTTCCGAGTTTAAATACCGGATGCTTTCGGGAAACGAAAGAAAGATGCTTTAAACGGGGCGGGAGAGACCATGAACTTGGTTTTGGAGCTTACTGAATGTATATATTTATTTTGTAGAATACTTACCTTGCCCCGGTTTATACGACATCGCTGCGCAGGAATGCCATGGGTGTGGGTCTGGTCTTTGAGGCAAACTTGGCCACTTCGGAAGATCTGAGTCACTGGATTCTTCAGGGCGTCTGCCTAACCCTCAATACAGATACCTAAAACTTTTCATTTAGTTAAAGACTGAACATTAATGGGTATTATTTATTCGTTATTGAAATATTTGTACCAGTACTTCCAGTAACCCAGTAGTAATTTGTTTACATCAAAGTTAAAAATAAAAATTGTATATTAAAAATTAAAAATAAACTTCGAATTTTTTAAAATATTTAATCAAGGGCTCTTTCTTTCTTCCCATATACCCCGCTCTATTGGAAACTTTTATTAAAAGACTTTGCTTTTACTTTTTTAGTATTGATTAATATTTATCGAATGGATTTTTCTAAGCCAAATAAATCTATGTTTACAGCTCTGTAGTGGCAATGGAGTTTATTATTAAGTACGTAGGTTGCTAGTGCCTGTCAATAACGTGATTTGTGCCTGAACCGTCTGATGATATGCCTCTGCTCCTCCGCCTGGCATTACCTGCGCCTCCAGCAACCGAAACAGCCCTTGAACTTGTCCAAAATAGTCGTCTTCATGGAGGGCAGCAGGAGCTCGAGATTCTGGGTGCCAGCACTGTCGTCCGACTCCAGATCCGAGTCAATGGTCATTTCCTGTATGCTGAAGGTATCAGTCAGTTCGTGGTTTTGCTGGCGGCGCTTGGACCGCTTCAGCTGGGCCGGAAAGAAGGAGATCTCTTCGGCCTCATCACTACTTTCGGACTTGTAATCCACTAGAGGTTTGTGTTCCGGTTCACCCGGAATGGGAAGTCTATTGATTGGTATAAGAGTGGACGATTGCGTCTTGGTGGCCTGTTGGTACAAAGGATGGGATGTTATAAATAATCGGCGGTATTGAGTAAACCAAAAACCCACCTGCTCCTCCTGAAATTGAGTATAATTCCGCCGGGCACGCTCGACCTTCAGCTCCAGTTTGCGCTGCAGTATGCGGCAGGTGTTGGGTGGCTCATGGCCTCGACCGCCTCCGGTCGCTTCTTCCTCTTCATCGATTTCTATGGTCGTGGGGGCATAAACCTTGCCGGCACCCCTGAATGCCACCTCAAACTCCAGATCCGACATATGTTTGGGGGCTCCGCTGGCCGTTTTCTGCAGTGACGTTGCCCGTTACCCGTGAAAAATTGCATTTCCTTCTCTCAGCTGTTGTTGTTGATCAAATAAACTTACCAGCAGTCCCGCGGCTCCATCCTCGTAAATGTTGGATTGCCTGTCCTCACTGTCGATGCCGCTATCCTCCATATTTAAAAAACTGGACCTCTGTTTAACTTTATTTAATTTTTGTAGCAAAAAAACTTGAAATGCACGCGATGGCAATACAAACAAATTTTATTGTCTTCCTCTGTATGACTCCCAAACTTCAACACACATCAACCCCAGAGACTAGGGCGCAGGCTCCAGCGAACAGCTGGTATGGAAAAACTGGGGAAAAATCAATAAACCCTTGCCCAAAGAGCGTTGCCAGATGGGGTGGCATTTTGAAATCGTGGGTCATCCCCCGAAATCATCTTTTATACATATGCACTCTTTATTAGGTAGTTTTAATTTATTTACAATTATTTGTTTTTAGGCTTAAATGCTTTACTCGTTGCACAGAAATGTCGTAGAAACTAAAAATTATGAAGGCAAATTCGTTTTAGCCGCTTCTTTCCTCGATTGAATTTAAGGTTACTCGTTATCAAGAATAAATAGGAACACAAACATAAAAACACTAATACTATTTGATTTTGTTCTGGAAGAGAGTAAGAATACTACAATAGAAGTTCGTTCGTTCTTGATCAGTAGGCTATATTTTGGCTATGGCTAAGCAACGGTTGGCTTTTTGGTCTATCTGCTTTTGAATGATGGGATGTCCGCGAATGTCGATCCAATTATTCTTGTGTGGTGCGTTTAAACTCAATTCAATCCGAAAACTAAACAAAATTACTCTGCTCTCTGTGTGGAATTATACCGCATTGGGATGAAAAGACGTGGCCACTTGGCCAGCCAACGTGCACGATCGGCAGCAGAACTTGGAGTAGTATGGATTGGAACAGTATCTGCCATGGACGATCAGCTTGCAGTTTGCAAAGTACGGATTGTCGACGCACTCGGGCGACACAGGTACAAAGGCTGAAAAATTGAATTTTTTAGTACCATCGTAACTTACTTCCAAGGTGATCACTTACATTGAATGGTTACATTCGCCTCTCCATTAGCGTAGGTGTACGCATTACTGGCCCTGCAGGTATACTTGCCCGAATCTTCGGGGTTCACATTACTCAATACCAGACGATGTGGCTGGGCTGTAATTTGGGAAAAATATAACATCAAATATCAATTACATATTTTTGATTTTATTGTTAACTCACATGTTATTTGAACCCGCTCATTATTGTACAGAGGCTCCTCGTCCTTGGTCCAGGTGACATTGGGTTCCGGATAGCCTTGTACGGAGCAGCTCATGGCAATGGTGGATCCGGCTGCGTAGCTGTTCTTCGAGTCCAGGGCCAACACGGCATGGACATTTACTATGAATCGAACAAAAAGGGGTTATTTCATCCAACTCGATAAATTAAGACTTAACGAACAGATCAAACACCATGCCAAGCCAGCAGAAACATGCAAGGGTGCAATACTTACCAGTGGGCTCAGGCACGTAGGCCGGTCGAGTGGGTCGGAAGGGATATCTGGGTCGCTGGGTTACTGGAGGGGTGGCCGGATTTAACACATACTGCAAGTATGGTTCCTCCTCGAGGCTCAGGGCCCGGACCGGACCCACCGCCTTCAGAGTGACGCGCAACGAGACAGGACGCCGGTAGTTGAAGACCTCGCAAGTATAAAGGCCAAGATCCGTCAACTGGATCGAATTGAAGACCAGCGAGTAGTCACGGGCCATAAGGTTATTATTCAGGCCAAACATTTTTCCGTTGCGCCACCAGCTAACATGGGGCTTTGGATGACCACCGGCAGGACAGCGAATCACAGCCGGACGGTTCAACTGTACGATCTGGGTAACGTTCTTATCACCGTAAACATAAGCGGGCAGATTTACGGCTTCTACCATCACCAAGCACCATAAAGCAAGCGGTTATGGAAAAGCAGGCATCATGCGCAAAATTTTCAATAGAAAGCAGTTAGTTACATAGCCAACACCAAAGGTAATATAAGTTTGTAAGAATAAACAAGAACCAACGCCTTTAAATAGGTCAGTGGTTTGTAAGTCATGGAAAATATCTTAAAGTCTATCAATGAATAATGTTTCAAACTCATGCCATGTGAAAATGATATATGTATAAACGCACCTGTAACTTGGAGAGCAACCTCACGTCGCACAGGCTCTCCAAGGCCGTTGCTGGCAACACAGACGTAGGTGCCATCGTCGGTTTGACGCACCTGGACAATGGTCAGATCACCGTTAGAGGTCAGGACATATCGTCCCTTGTTCGTGTTGATCTGTAGATGACACAGAAATACATTATGAATATACAGAAAAGAAAGTATAACAAGTTCTCCTCTGTCCAAATATCTTACCACCAAGTTATTAAGCGACCAGGTAATATTCGGAGCTGGGTTGCCTGTGGCAAAGCAGCGCAACACGGCAATGCCGCCGATCGAAGTCTGGACATCCACCTCACTTCGTTCCTTGGGTTCCAGAGCGACCCTAACATCTCCAGGATAGGCAACCACAGGAGCCTGAGTCCTTGGAGGCTGAGTGGGGCGAGCGGGATGAATACAGAGCTGTCCACAGCCGTCGCTACAGCACTTGGTATCACCACGACAGTCCGCATCAGTATAGCATTCCCGGGCACAACCACTGGCATTGGCCGACAGAGCTGGGCACTCGCCCGGCTTATTGATTTCGCGGCAGAGAGGAGCAAACTGTCTATCGTCGGAACTGGCCACATCGATGGCACACTTTTGTCCCTCTGGGCAATCGTAACCCTCACACGGATTCTCGCAGACGCACTGTGTGCACTCTGGCTGGGATTGGGCAGCCACACGGCGTACGCCATAAGGACAGCGAATTTCCCGGCACTCGGCATCGAAGTTATCGCACGGGTTCTGTCCAATTCCGTTGTCTTGATCGTTCGTGTCCGCTATAAAGAGAGAGGAACTTGATTTAGTAAGAAAAATTCCCTAGAGAGGTCTTCCATTCCCGAGAACCCGTGCAGTCTTAAGTCTAGTGAAAGTGCAAAATCGCAAATACTACAGATGCTACTTCAAAATTTCTACTAGAACAAGCGGTTTGGGTGTGGGCAGATTGCAAGGTGCATTTGTGGTTGGGTGGTTTTTGGTGCAGTGAGCTCAATGGTGCAGTGAGCTCTGTGGTGCAGTGAGCTCTATGGTGCAGAGAGCTTTTGTGGTGCATTATTGTCTGGAGGAAGGGCTTACGTCGGCATTGGTTCATGCATGCCTCGAAGGATCGGAAGTTGTTCTGGTTGCCGGAGCAACCCGCGTATATGAAGGACACACAGTTTCCTAGCGAGTCGTCGTAGTACCAACGGCGCTCGTGCACCGAAGGTCCATTGCATCGGCCCGTCAAGACTGGCAGCAGGCAGATTTCTACTTACGCAAGAGAAGAACCAGTTAGCCCAACGACTCCATGGTGAACCCCAACGACCCCCATTTATGTTACCTTTAGCCGAACCCACAGTCGGTTCGCGACCTGCTAAGCAAACTGTCTGGCATTCGTACAAATCGTTGAAACGGTTACCGGTGCCATCGCAACCACCATAGGTAAATGGCTCACAAGCCTGGCTCGCTTTGTTGAAGAAGTACTTGGTCTGCCAATCAGTGCATGGACCCGAAGTCACCGCCTCATTGCAAACGTCTGACACAAAAGATTATAGCACCTGAAACATGTCCCCAACCCGGCTGCCCCAAACTTACCAACTCCCTTGAACTCGCCGCACTGGCGCTCGCACTGATCGCGCGTCTCGAAACGATTTCCATTGCCACCGCATCCGGTGTAGGTGAAGGCCGTACAGGCCATGTTCTCATTGTCATAGAACCAAGCGGTGGTGCGGTTGTCGCATTCACCAGCCTCCGGTGGCTGGCTACACACGGAGTCGGTCTGAATAGAAATATTCAAGAAATTTTATTGATTTTTGTTAATTGAAGAGTAAAAGAATAAAAGAACTGAGTTAAACTTACCGGTGCTTGTGGTGGTTCTGGATCAACGGGTCCTTGTTCCCGGCAGAATCTTAAGCAATCATTCTCAGAGACGAAGTTATTGCGATTACCGCGGCATCCGGTGAATTCAAATTCGTGACATCCACCGCTTCGCTCATCGAAGTACCAGCGTCGGGAAAGGTCACTGCAGCGTCCTCGGACAGGAGGCAGTGCACATGTGGTCTGGGCGTCATTACATTCAGTCTGGCACTCTTCCTCGCTGGCATAGTTGTTGGCATTTCCACCACAGCCTGTGTAAATGAACTCGTCACAGAGACCCTCTTGGCTGTTGTAGAACCAGCGAGTCTCGTTTTCGAAGCAGTTGCCCAGCTCGGGAGCCAGGAAACACTTGGACGTGTCAGATTCAGGGCGAATTTCCTCTGGAGGGTCATCATCGTTTCCAAACCGGGTGTCTATATTAGGAGAGCAGCGAGATGAACATTCCTCCTCAGTGCCAAAGCGATTTTCATTGCCACCACAGCCGCCATAGTAGAACGACTGGCATTGACCCGCGGTCTGATTGTAACTCCAATTGAGAACCCATTCATCGCATTGACCTGGATCAGTGGGCTGATCACACTGGGCCGCAGCTGGTGGAGCTGGTTGAGGAGGTTGCCTGGTGGGAGCAGGAGCTCGTGGAGTTGTCGGGGCAGGACGTTCTTGTCTGCTGCAACGCTGTTGACAATCACTCTCCGTTTCAAAGCGATTGCCATTGCCGCCACAACCGCCATAGTAGAACTGACGACAACCACCATATTTCCGATCAAAGTGCCACTTGAGAACCCAATCACTGCATTCGCCAGCAGCTGGTTCCTCGTCGCAAACATCCTGCCTGCTGTTATCCGGCTTGGGTGCGGCCGTCGTTGTTGTGGGTTCGGGCTTGCGATCACAACGCGCCAAACAGGACTCCTCAGAAGTGAATCGGTTCTCGTTACCTCCGCAGCCGCCGTAGTAGAACTGGCGACAGGCCTGATCCTTGGTGTCGTAGTACCAGCTGCTAACATAGTTGGCGCACTCGCCCACCTCTGCTGGAATCTCGCAGATATCCTTGGCTGGTTGGGTGAAGGTTTGGAAGAGTGTCAGTAGGGCAAGGTGTTTGGGTGGATAAAATGGGAACACATAGAAAGCAGCCGCCGGGGCAGACAACATTTAAAGCTTACCAACTTGCCGGGGGCAGTGGTCCTCGCAGGACTCCAAACTGGGGAAGTTGTTCTTGTTGCCACCACAACCCGTGTAGTAGAATGGCACGCAGCGCTTCTCATTCTCGGAGAAGTACCACTTGGCCAGCTTTTCACTGCAATCACCGGTTTGCTTAGGAAGCGCACAATGATCTGGGGTCGTGGGATGTTGGATGTTTTGGTGCAGGAGGAAATTCGGATGCGGGTGCAGATTCAGGAAGTCGGCATAGCAAATAACAAGCAATCATGCACATACAATAAAGTAACCAAGCAGTTTTTTGGGGAAAAGGAAAGTTTGGGAAGAACATACCATTAACCAGGATGAACCAAGGGATTCAAGCTTAAAACTATTCATAAACCCAAGCAGAACGTTGCATACAACTAATCCCATTACCCAATTCAAGTCACCACAACATACTAAATCTGATCTCAAACCTTTAAGCACGCCCGGCTGGCGGCAGTTGTAGTTGCAGGCATGTTCCGTCGGATAATTGTTCCTGTTGCCCTTGCAACCTCCATAAGTGAATGGTCGGCAGATATCGGTCTGATTGTCGTAGTACCAACGTTCAAAGTTTCCAGCACAAGGTCCACTCTCCACAGGCTGTTCGCAGGTTGCTAAAATTTAATAGTTTTTAATATACATAGGGCACTTTAAAAACCTAGGTTCTACTTACGAAGATTTTCACTGGAGGCGCATGTTCCTTGGCACTGCTCCAAGGTATCGAAGCGGTTATTGGTGCCGTAGCAGCCACCGTACTGGAACTCCTCGCAACGGTTGCGGTCCGCATCGAAGTACCATTTCTTGGTGTAGCCCGTGCATGGGCCGGAGCTCTTGGGCAACAGACAGACGTGCTTTCCGGTATAGTCCTGGCAGGTGTCCTTGCACTCGGCCTCGCTCTCGAAGCGGTTGTCGTTGCCATCGCAGCCACCATACCAGAACCGAGCGCAACCTCCGTACGACGTGTCGAAGTAGTACTTGACGCTGAAGTTGCTGCAGGTGCCCGTCTCCTTGGGCAGGGCGCAGGCCTTTTGCGGTGGCTCCTCGACATTCTCGCATCCTCCGAATTTCTCGTCGGTCGCCTTGGTAATTCCATCGGGGCAGCAGCCAAACTTGCTCTCCACACAGGTGCAGCCCTCGCCGTTGGGGCCCTTGGCCGGAGTCTTTTCGTCATCGCAGCATTTGAATTCCGTTTGAGTGCAGTGGCATCCATGATGGTGTGGTCCCTTGGCGAAGGTGATGCCATCTGGACAGCATCCGAACTGGGTAGTCTCGCAAGGACAACCCTCGAACTTAGGTCCCTTGGCAGCAGTGATCTTGTCTGGGCAACAGCCATGCTGGGTCGTCTCGCAAGCACATCCCTCCTGGTTGTAGCCAGTGGCTGCCGACTTGTTGTCCGGACAGCAACCGTAGGGCGTGTAATGGCACTCGCAGCCTTCGTTGTTGGGTCCACGGGCGGCCAAGATGTTGTCGGGGCAACAGCCGAATTCGGTGTCCAAGCAGCAACCCTCCTTGTTGGGACCGTGAGCCGGGGTCTGGGAATCGGGACAGCAGCCATATCGTTCGCGAGTACAGCCGGAACAGCCCTCACCATTAGGACCGCTGGCAGCAGTTTGGCCATCCGGGCAGCATCCGTGCTCAGACTGTCCACATCCCTTGGGTCCCTTTGGTTCTTCGACTTCAGGACAACCAGCAAAGTCGGCGCCCTTGGCAGGAGTTTCAGCATCAGCACAGCAACCGAATTCGGAATAAGAGCAGGACTTGGTTTCTGGCTCAGATGTAGTCGAGTCATCGCCTGATCCTTCAATCTCAGTGGTTGACTCTGGCTGTGATTCCTCAGTGGTGGTTGTAGACGGTACAGTGGTGGTCTCGGGACATCCCTCATCATCCTCTCCTTCTGCAGCAGTGAATTTATCGGGACAGCAGCCAAAGAGGGTTTCAGCACACTGGGACTTGGGACAACCCTTGTTGTTCTTGCCCTTAGCCGGAGACACTCCGTCCAGACAGCAACCGTACTTTGTATCGGCACAGGTCTTGGCAATGGGACATCCTTCGTCGAAGGGTCCCTTTGGAGTGGACTTACCATCTGGACAGCAACCATACTCGGATTTAACGCAGTCACTCTTCTTCGGCTTGCATTTGCGAGGCTTGATTTTCCCGACTTCAGACTCGAAGGAGTACGGGGTACTGGTCTCGGAGTCGTCATCTTTGTCACTGGAGCTCCAGATATCACTAGTTGTACTGTCAAGATCTGTAGACTGGGTACTTTCTGTGGATCCTTCAGTTGAGCTGTCTGTGGATCCTTCTGTAGTGCTCTCTTCGGTTGGACCACTTTCTGTGGTATCACTCGTTTCTCCACTAGCAGTGCTTTCGGTGGATTCAGTAGCATCTGTGGTGGCCTCAGAGGAGGATACGTCGGTGGAGGAGGATTCCGACGCTTCCGTCGATCCAGAAACGTCAGTGGATGATGAAGATTCTGTGGCGGTGGAGTCTGATGTATTATCAGAGCTTGTGGAACTACCCTCAGTGGTCGAACCCTCACTGGCACCAGCTTCAGTGCTTTCAGTTGATCCAGACGAATCTGTTGACAATGTTGTGTCATCGCTGGAGCCATCAGTAGTGTTATCAGAGGAGCCATCAGTGGATGCATCAGTTGCACCATCAGTAGTTTCATCAGTAGCATCATCAGTGGACCGATCAGTCGACCCATCAGTAGCACCCTCAGTGGAGCTTTCAGTAGAAGCATCCACAGTGGAGGCATCTGTGGTTGATCCATCACTAGATAGGTTAGTGGAATCAGTGGCTTCAGAGTTAGAAGTAGAAGAGGAAGCCGAAGAATCTGTTGAGCTTTCTGATGAAGATTCACTGCTAGAAGAGGCGTCAGAAGTTGAGGATGAGTCCAGGGTAGAAGATTCTGTAGTATCAGTCGAAGATTCAGGAGTTGTTTCCGTTGTTTCATCTGAAGTGGAGTCCGTAGAATCTGAAGAGACTGTTGATTCGGAAGACGCATCAGATGTTTTGTCCGAGGAGCTCTCAGTTGAGCTAGATACGCCATCCGTGGAGCCGTCAGTAGTGTCACTAGAATCAGACACTGATGAAGAGGAAGCCTCAGTCGAAGATTCACTGACGTCTGACGTTTTGTCCGAAGAGTCAGTGGAGTCATCTGTGGAACTTGAGGACTCTGTAGAGCCCTCAGGAGTGGAGTCTGACGCATCGGTCGAGCCCGAAGATTCTGTAGTGTCAGTAGAATCTGAAGCATCTGAAGAGCCTGTAACATCGGTTGAGTCTGAGGCGGACGCTTCCGTGGAGCTCGAAGAGTCAGTCGATTCACCAGAAACCGCTGTAGGTTCTGTAGATTGGTCTATAGAGTCGCTTGAATCGGACACTGAAGATGGAGCTTCAGAAGTTGCATCGCTGGAAATGCTGGAGTCGCTGGAACTGGATTCGCTGGAGCTAGAATCGGATGTCGTCGAGCTCAACAAATCAGTGGATGCCTCAGAAGTGTCTTCGTCGTCGCCACTTCCTTCTGTGGAAATTCCGCTATCGGTGGTTGACTCCGAGTCATCACCTGATCCCTCAACTGTGGTACCAGTCGATTCAGACTCATCGTAAGGTGTCGGGCTGTCACTTTGCATTAGCTCTTCGGCCTCGGGTGTGGTTTCCTTATCCGATTTAACTTCGAAATCGATTATATCGGCCTTTTTGTCAACTTCTGGCAAGTTATCGCCAACCAACTCAATACCATCTTCATCACAGTCCTCCTCATCATCCTCGATCGGTTTGTCGGTGCTGGTCAAAGGCAATATCTCATCTTCAGTGCAGGCTTCGGGATTACACTTTTCTGATAGAGGTTCCACCTTTTCTTCATCACAGTTTACGGACTTGGTTCCATTAGACAGGCACAGGACTTCACGAACCCGCTCACCGCCACCGCATGGCTTGCTACACTTGCCCCAAGGACCAGTAAACCATTCGCCGGGGCACACCTTCTCCTCGCCCTCGCACTCCTGCTCCTGCTCTGGTTTCGTGTCCTTGTTGCACTTTGAGTCATCACTAGCTGGAGTCACTGTCTTGCCATCGAACTCGCCGCATATCACAATGCGGGATTTGACGCCCTTTCCACAAGCAGCAGAGCACTTGCTCCACTCCGAGGAGAACCACTGAGCCTCGCACTTGGGCGACTTGCATGGACGAGATAGAGTAGGAACTTCGGGTTCGCAGAACTCCTCCGGATACACCTTACCTTCTTTGTTGCCACATATGGCCGTACGGGTTTCAGTATTCTGACCACAAGCATTGCACTGCGGGACAAATTATATAGCATTCAGATCACCTAAGAAAAAAACTAACAATACTTACACCGCTCCATTGAGAGATAATCCAATCTACACCTTCACAAGGTGTCAAAAGGCAGGTCTTCTCCGCCTCGGGCTTCTCCTCTACGCAATCTTCTTCCGGCAGGACTCGCTTACGTCCGTTCTCCTTAATATAACAGGTTACCTTGCGGGTCTGCTTACCCTCGCCGCAGAGCTTATCACATGGTGACCAGGGTCCAAGATGATATTTAGGGCAGTTCTTCACATCGCGATTGCATTCCTGTGTCGTGGCAGGCTTGTTTCCCACCTGTTGAAGGCAAACTGCATCCTCTTCAACGGTTTTCTCACTGAAATTAAAGTCATAGATTGTAAAGAAATAAAAATAAATAACAGTAGATTAAGAATAACTTACCCGGTAGACGAGATTCGTTCGCAGGTGATGCTTCTGTTTTGGAAACCATCGGATCCGCAGCCCTTGGAGCACTTAGACCACTCTCCCTCCACCCAGTGAGGGGCGCAGGGGTCTGTGCCGCACTCTTGTTCCTCCACCGGCTTGGACTTTTGATCGCACAGCTGAGCGCTGACTTCGGCCAGAGTAATGCGGTTGTTGCAGGTTACCTTGCGACTCTGAGTTCCACCGCCGCAGGAAGCACTACATGCACTGAATTGGTGATGAGTCCACGTGTGCGTATCCTGTTGCGCGTGAGTAAGAGACTCCGGGATACTGTACTCGTAATCGAGACTGATGTTCTTATCCTGAACCAGCATCACAATGAATAGACTCTCCGAGATGGGTCCGCTGCTGGTCAGTTGATCGGGAGCCGCGAAACCCATAGGTTTGCGTTGGTAGTTCCACCACGAGTTAGCAAAGAACATTGGGCGGGGGAAGTCGATGCGCCAGTCACCGTTCAGGTAGTAATGTCCACTATGGTTCCGGCAGGCCAAATAATTACTGGATGGAAACGGTTCCTCAATACGAATATTGGTGGCACCTTGTGGAAGGAGCAGCAGGTCGTTGTAGCCCGGAGCCAGGTCCTTGGTTGAGATGTTGTTGCGAATGGTCTTGCAGGTGCTTCCATCGCCACCGCACTTGCGGCACTTGTCCTCCTTGGCATTACTGCCCAACATCATGTCGCAACCCACGGGCATGCACTCCCCATTCACGCACACGTCGAGATCCTTGTCATTGCAGCGGGTTCCGTCTACCACCTTCTCCCTCTGACGATAGTAGAAGCGCTCGCCCTTCGGCATGCAGTTCAGCTCGCAAGGATTGGGCGCATTTGTGTAGGGCACCCATTCGTAAAGGACTCCATCGAACTTTTGTCGATCAAAACGGGAGCACTGCTGCGCCCGAAAATCGGGTTCGTCCTCTGGGCAGTCTTGTGTGTTGCAAGAGAAGTAACGGCGACTGCCTCCGCTGCAGACTGCCTCGCCACGGTAGCTATGGGTTATTATTTAAAGATAAATTTATTGACTAGAATTGAGTTCAAGACATTTCGTTCTTCTGTACTCACTCTCTGCGTAGACACTCTCGAGTCTGGTAGGACACTCCACCGCCGCAGGTTCTGGAACAGTCCGAAGGGGAGCTCCAGGGTGTCCATTCATCGGGATCGTTACCCTCACCGCCAGGCGTCACAGAGCTTTCCGGCAAATACATGTTCGCTCCATATTGTCTTTTTTGTCTTAGGCCAGGCTGCAAAGGGTCCGTCAGATTAGACGGTGAATTCTATTAGGATCTCCTAAGAATACTTACGAATCTGCTCTGGGAATCATGGATGCCGGCCAGAACAATGAATGCTACCAAGGCAGTTGAGCTGCAAGTGGAAAGCAGAGAAGACAATTTAATTAAACGCCACCCAGACATAACCTCGCCCAATGTGGCCATTCATTAAAATCATGGAACCGAAGTCACGTGTTGACTTGTTGCACATATATATTTGTTGACTCTGCCGCATGCCTGTGGACACACGAGTGCTCAGACTCATTAGAGAAGCAACAGGCCGCATGGATGACGGGGGAGGAACCAACTTCGGCTGAGACTTTCTCAAAAGACCCTACTGCGTCCAGCGAAGGGGCACAAACAAACTTTTGTGGGGCTTCGCGGCGACAACATGATGAACTTGTTTATGCTCACTGGCCAGAGCAAGCAAACATTGAACTTGTTTTTGCGGCTAAATCCGCAAAGGGCGAAGCAGGAGGGGATAGAGAAAAGAATGGGACTTGGTCAAGTAAAATTTGCAATTTCTTTGGTAACAATTTTTTATTATGCGCCGCGCGCACGGACCATAAATATGCAATGCCACATAAACAAGACATAATTTAGCAGGGCTTCCTGCCGATTTGCCAAAACGAAAGAAGAGCAGAACCAAGCAAATAATAAGTACCGAAGCCAGGGAGAATATACGATTATGCCGCAGACAATTCGACGCCGCGGAATCCCTGACTGCGACTTCTTAACTTCTTCCAAGGAGGATGTCGTTTTGCCCCGAGGACAAGTTGCGTGAATATGTCAAAGGCGTTCAATGTTGCAGGCAACGTTTGCTGCACTGCATCCCCCCTTTCTTTTTTGTTGGGGGCTTGCCAATTTAATTTCTGACGCTGCTGCGTGCGGGGAGCCTCTCGGTTTGTTCCGCTTGGACGCCTCCGACTGATGGCGCTCGCCTCCTGACTCCAAAGGAAGGACAGCCCCGACATCCTTCTATGGTCCGTGGTCCTTGGGCCGCAGCAGGAGTGCTGCTTATGACAGCCACAGAGAGCCGGAGGGCTGGGCGCCAAGTGTGGCCATAATTTTTATGCTTCTGTGTTGGCATTTTAATGCAATTTGAGCGCATTTCCCTTTTGAAACCAATGCCAGGACACCTATTGCTTTGGCAAGGACAACGGAAGGCAAATGGCAAACGGCAAACCGACAACGGCACACATTTCACAGTCCATTGAGCAGGGGCGGCGTCGCCCAGTCGCCTCCTTCTCAGGCATTGCGTCATGCGAACAGGATACCAGGACACCAAGACCCACCAACCAGGACGACACAAGACCAGCTTCATTAATTGGGCAGTTCCAAGGAAACCGCTGAGGCGGCAAAAACCGCAAGAGCGCAGTTCTTGATTTCGATTTCATACGCGACTGCTGATTACGCAAAATCCTCGGACCCAAAATATTCGGGTGTGGGGGAATAACATTGTTATTGCCACATGCGGCGGATGCCACGTGACACTAGCACAAACAGTTGGCGCAATCGTCAAATAAGTTACACATGTCATGTGAACCACCGAAACGCCGCCACAGAAATGTCAAACAAAACTGAGGAGGAAATGCTAAATTCGGCTGGAACTTTACAATAATAAAGTCAGTACTATGTACGAGATTAATGTCAGGAGGTGGAGTTCCCCAATCCCTGACCCCATTTAGTTTTGTGACCAGGATTTAGTTGGCTGGCAGGCGAGATCAAAGCTGCCTTGCCAAGAGGGCCCAATTAACGGGTCGCGATGCCTTTCTGACCAGAAATGGTCTCACAATAGCCGCCCATTGTTCATTGTGCGCCGCTTTACAAAGGCATTTGGATGGCGGCTCTAAGCGGTGATAATATTTTAAGGGGCCATGGCAATCACTGCATAGATGCAGTGAGAGTGCAGGGAATGCTCCCTTTTTGGCTTTACAATTGCAGCCATTATCAGTCAACTTGAACAACTGACTGCTGCATGGATGCAAATCCAGGCCACAGCTATCCAAGTATGTATGTGCTCTCTCTCCAGACAGAGTAGCTAAAAGATATTCACTCCGCATCCATGCCAGAGATATTCACGATCGTGTAATTGCTTTCAAATGCCTTCCACGCAACAAGTGCATTCTGGGATAAGATGCGTGTACACACAGAGAAATATATGTATTTCTGGGAAAGTTTTTATGATATGAAACGCTAAACTTCATGTGGGAAAACCTATCATTTTGATTTGACATACAATTTTTGTTTTGTGTAAGGGAACAGTCTTTCCAAAATATCTTCGACGGAGTATTTCAAGAATGTAGCTACTCCAAAAACATACTTTTACAATGACCATCATAAATAAAGCGGCTGCTAATGAGCCGTAAGAACAACACTATCAGCGGCACTTACTCCACAAGTGCGTGCACTTAGCCGCCAAACTCAAGACCGGCAACGAATTACGACTAATTTAATGCCAAACAAAAAGGAATCTAAAGCTATCGGAACAAGAATATATAATGTAGCAAGACGAAATCCAAACAATTGCCGCAGCAACACAAATAAATACTGTCCAGATTTCACACCTGACCATTGAAAACTGACGTGAGATTTGTTTACATGACTCATCCACGAGGTCGAGTAAGTAGAATTCCCCCACTTTAACCCCACCCCACTTGTTATAGGGAGTGATTCGATTCTTTGGGCCTTTCCCATGCCAATTGATCAAGGCAACAGCTACAGAGGGAGTTCTCCTCATCAAGTTAATCAAATGGCGGGGCATGCAATATTTGAGCTGCATCCATGAGGATTCCAATTCCACAGCTGCCCATTGCAGCCCTTTCCCGGAGCCCTTTGATGAAGATGGAATGCCCATGGCCCCCAGTTCACCAGCTGCAACCGTTTGACTTCTGCTGGCCCCTTTCGCTTTTTTTTATGTTGATTGTAAAGAACGAAAGGAATTTGATGTTGCAGGCAGGCAACTGATTTAATTGCAGCAAACGGAAAGTGCGGATAAAAGCCACCAACACTGGAGGAAAAATGTAAGCGCTTCATGAAGCCTTTTGCTTAAGTTTAATGGTAAATCGACCTGATTTTTCATCTGTGTACTTAAGCATATAAATCATTTAGCTTTATCTGCTGCAGATCAATCTAGGCAGTAAGTCCTAATCAGCTTCGTTAGTGCATTTTATTTGGCCACAGAACACCAGGCAGCAATTATCCACAGATCCACCTCATTAGTCGGAAGGATACGTGCAAATGTGTGACACCCGTTTGTTCAAATACAATTACATAGTCATACAATTATCGCAAGACAAGCAGAGACTAATGCAAAACGCCAAATTGTGGCTGAGGTGTGGCCAGGTAAATGTTCATGATGCTGCTGCCGAAGCTCTGATGTTGAGAATGATGATGAAGGGGCTGACGATGATGATGATGATGATGATGACTCTATGAAGAAGATGCGGGCTTGGTTGGGGGCAGAAAGCTCGTGGAACGACGACATTTGTTGCAACGGAAGTAAATGTTTGCATTGTTGAAATTTTAATTGCATTTGCATAAAGCAACGCACACAGAGAGTGGAGCGACATCCTCCGATTGCAGGGAGAACGAAGACCCTAGTTCCTACTGCTGCTGCCATTTTGACTGGCAGCCAAACACTTGCACAGCCTGGCCAAGCAATTATCAATTTCGAAATTAATTTAACTTAATTGAGTAGTGAAAATAATAAACATACGCCTTTGCCCCGAAGTGTTTACGAAATGCAGACATTGCAATGCTAGTGGAGATTATGCAACATTCTACCAATTTCCAACGCTGCTGCCTGCTGCCTACAATGTTGCAGCGCCGTAGTGTTTTCGGGGCTAAAAGGCACAACAAAGTTTGCTCAAATGCCTAATGAAATATTTGCCACGCATTTGGCCAAATGAGCAGAGCAAATGAGCAAACAGAATGCACATTTAAGCCCAGTTCACCGAGACAGAGAGTCACAGTGTTGGGTCGGAAAAAGGGAAAGAGATTTCACTGTGCGTTTCACTTTGCCAACTTACTGACCCATAAATTTCACTAGCTGTCAACGGCGGCAGCTAAACGTTCGACTGGCAAACAAATTTTTATGTCCCATGTTGCGGCAGCCACAAGAAGGAGCCACCACACCACCAGAGAATCAACAGTGCAGTGGAGCTAATTAGAGGCATCATAATGCCGCTGTCGCGACTTCCCATCATACTCAGAAAGACCCCCCGCACAAACATTGGCAATTTTCTATTTGCCCAACTCATTCGGTTCGAGATTGCAACAAGCTGCTTGACTTCACTTATGGCTAATAGCACTCGAGACGCGGGCAAAGGAAAACGTTCAGGTTTTGGATACGGGGAAACATCCACTTTTGCACCCTTTTGAACTTCGCCCCCACCTCAGCCAGTGGGGGATTATTAATCAGGTCGGTGTGTAAACATTTTAGCGCCAACTCATGATACGAAAAAAGTGCTCACAGGATGCCAAATGAGCTGGCATATTTCAACACTTAATTAGTTGGGAAACTGAGGGTTTGAGAAAAAACACGGAAAACTAAATAAAATCTGCCGAATTTTTCAACATTCAAAGTTTATTTTGGGAATGGCTACTTTTTATAGAACTTTACATATGCCCCGATCATAATTTGTGCTCTCTAAATCAACATATGAATTTAAACAAGCTGGGAGTAATTAAATTTCTCATTACTTATGCTAAATAGAAATATCTGTCTTAATTTCAACAACCTGTTCGGGGAAGAAGAATTCTAAAATAAACAATGACCAACTCCCAGGCTTGACGCACACAAATTTCTGTTATTTATAATAGCCTTCAAATCGAATTGGTAACCCGGGCAATTCGCTTAAATGCTATCATGTCAGCGACTACCTGACGGATAAAATGTGGAGCAGACATTGATTTATAGCGCAATTACGGATTCGCTTATTGTTTCAGTACTTGTCAGTGTTACTGCTAGTGGGTTCCTTACGTTTTTCAGAATCCTTTCTGCCAGTTAAGGTATGTATATATATATATATACAGAGGCAATCGGAAGTCGAAAAGGGCTACGTCCCTGACCCTTAAAGGGCTATCAATTTGAACTGCATTTCGGTTCATTTGCTGTCATCAAGATGCGCATCACGTTTCCCAAGAACACTCCGGCAAACCGATCGTCGCCTGTCGTCGGCCAAAACATTTTTATGGGTTTTATTTTTTGTGGTCTTTTTTGGTTTTTTGGCCGCCGGCGAATATATTTCACTTGTTGCTGGTTGATGGTTGCTGGTTATGCTGCATGCCCCTTGCCATTCTGGTTTTTCAGACAGAACTTTTTAGGCACATTTTACTGCATGTGACGCATCGTTTGGCTTTGCCTCCTGGTTGGATCTGCAGAATTTTTGGATATTTTTGCAGTCATGCCATGGTTGGTTCTCCTCCTTCTCCGTTTCTGTATTTCTGTATTTTGTATTTTGTATCTTGTTCTGCCTCTGCAATTTTAGCGGCGGCATATTTTGGGGCATCCTTTTTATCTTCCGCGTTTGCAGGGTGCGACGACCCCGTCTGCGGCTGATCGATCAGATTGTGTGTGTTAATATATGTACATATCTGTGTGTATTTAAGGGGGGCAAACATTAACAATAGCTCTCAAGTTATTTGCCATTCGCACATTTGATTTAGCTCCGGAGTCCGGACTATGGCTATGGCACAATTAAACGCCGCCCAGTCGGCAGTCTTTTGTTAATTAACCATAAGACATTAAGTCATGGGAAGCGATGTGCAGATCGCTCGATCTGCTGTCGCGAAACCATTAACCATGCCATTGGGGGGCCAGTGGGTATGGGTATGGGTATGGGTATGAGGATCCTCAGCACATGTGGCAAATGCAGCGTGCAACATTGCCACCATGAACTTGGGAGGTAATTGAGGCATGGAATGAGCATGAGCTGATCCGCAGGATTGCAAGTTGCAAGTGCAGCAACAAGGGGGTGCGTTTGTTGTCCAAATAGCACTGAACATAATTTGCTGCTCATTTGCCGCATCATTCGATATTCCGAAGAAATCCATCCCCGGCACACATGCCATTTCCGGACGGGACTTCACTTCTGCCCCCATCCTATAAAGTACAGACTTTGCAGAATCCGCACACTCTCATGGCAGCAAAGCAGCCACTTCGCTAGATCAACATTTGAATTTCTGATTTATTTATAGCTATTAAGGATCAATTATGCAATTCGAGTGTTTACTAGTCGAAACTCGTGTGTGCATGGGTTTCTTTTTTTCAAGGCAACTGGCTCTGCGTGTATCATTTCAAAAGCATAAATTTGGAAAATTTAGTGTTTATAGTGCGGCTCGCACAGATCACACTCAATAAACAATTTGGCCCAGCAACTACGAGTAGCAACTATGTGTGGGCAATTAGACTTCGGTTCTTGTTATTCTTGTTGCATCCATTTTCCTGCCGGTCAGAATTTAGTGTTTTCCGCAGAATATTATACTTAAAACATAACAAACATTTGGAGGCTAAAATTTATCAGCATAGGTAAAATCTTATATTTAGATTGGGAATTTTCATTGAATACACAAAAACTATAACATCCTCCCAATTCCAAAGAAAGACGAATGAGATTTTTCGGATTCTTCTCCGAGTAAGTCATTCTGCGGCTCGATCTTCGAATCTCCAGCGGCGTCAACTGGAGTCAAGTTCAAAGACGTCACGAGTCACAAATTTTCGCTTAATGTAATGTATATTTTGGTTACTTAATGGCCACACACAGGCAGCTCATCTGGCGAGATACGGCCTACAAGATACCCGGTTACTGATTTACCGAGTGCGTTAAAACGTTTAGTTTGTGCCATTAAACTACAGACATAATGATGGCCATACGTCTGTTGACCCGTTTGGGCCTAAAAATTATCAGGGGGGTTTTGGGTTGTAGTTTTTGAGCAGCCGCCTGATCAGATACCCTACACAGAAATTCTAAGGTTCAAGATGATTTTCAATTGTTTAATTTCTCAAGAACTTTTCCATTAATTCAACTAAAAAAAATTATTGAGAAAAACTTTGATTTCCTGTGAATTGTGATTAGCCCCGCAGATACCAGGCACATATGTCCCCAAACTTTGGCCAACATGGGTCATGTGGTGGCCACATTTTTATGGCAGTACGACAAAACAATGCCGAACCATAGATTTTCCCGCCTGCCTTTGACAGAGAGACACAGAGACAGAGAGATTTTCGCTTTCAAGTGGCTAACGCACAATTTTCGCGAAAAACTTTAAAAAACTTGACGAATGGATGCGCTAACTGCCAGTTGGCCGAGGAACAAGTTTCTGGCCTTTTATGTGTCGGTGTCGGACTTTATGACTTTGGCCAAAAATAAAACGCACGCAACGCTTGTGGTCAACGAAGAACAGCCTCAGATGGAGATTATGGCCAAGATAGGGATGTCCAGCATGTGCGTGAGAGCAACTGGCCCGTCGAGATCTCGGGACTCATGGCTGGCATAGCTGGCGTCAACTTTGAACCGACCTCTGAGTTGCTCCGCAAGTATCTTTTGGCCTGTCCGAGCGTCTCACTTTATTTTCTCTCTACATATTTTTTTTCTTTGGCTTTCTGGGCAAGGGAAGAGGGCACTTCAAAGCACACGCACTTCACCTACGAACGCAACTCTTTGGGATAAATATTTACATTTCCATCTGAAAATTTGATTTGATTTCTTCGTTTTCTTGTGGAATCGCACACACACATTTCGGTGAAGAAACAGAAAGACCTGTCGATGAGGTGCAGGTGAGGTAATGGCACATTTTTCTGGGCCAGTGGGTGGAGGTGAAGGGGCCACCGATCTGGCTGTTTGAAGTAAATTCGTGCTGCCGGAAATTGAGATGTTAAAAGGGAAATCGATTACGGTTGAAATTAGGCAGACCCAAATTAGCTAAATTATATGGGGCATAGCATATCGTTTAACTGATTAAATTTTATTTATTTAATTCGATGATAGGGATATTGCCATAAAAACCATAACTTTTAATACTACTTTCGGAGCTTAATTGCTAATGGAAACGGGGCAGCAGGAGCAATCACGGCGCACACACAAACACATTAGGAGGGCTTTGAAAATGCTTTGAAAAATGTTGCAATTTTCATTAACAAACTTCAATTAAGTTGGCAATGTAATTTGGCATGCAAACAAAATGCTGGCCAGGATAATGGCAGTCGCGCGCTTTGTCAACATCGAGGAACGCCTGTTGCACAGTGAGCACGTAGCCAGGATGCGAGGACATCTCCGCCCACCACCGCACATGTGCATGGATGGATATCGGTAGGAGGAACAGGGCCAGGAGCAGGACCAAAATGAGAACTCAGACGGGGAGGAGACCCATGTCAAGTGTTTGCGCATGTAGTTCAAACGGAATTAAAATTCCAATTGACACAGTAATTTGCTAGCAACACAAAGGGAATCAATTTCAGGGATTGCAGTGCTACATCTGTCGCGTTCGGATGGATACATGTTTGTCAGATGCTTACCACAACCGCCTCGATAAATCCATTTTGTGGCTCCTTGCTGACAGGACAGCACAATAAACGTTGCCTCACTTTTCGCGATTTCCACACTCTCGACTATATATATATGTATATATATATATATATAGATTATTTTTTGTATCGTCTCCTTGTCCCTGCTGAGTGGCTAACACTTGAGCAACAGCACTTGAGTTTTAATTATCTGGCACAGAAGTTGTCACTTAAAAATCAGAATTTATTCGGCACTTTGCGCCTGCGCATTGCCGCAGGATATATCCGGTCGCGTATTATCCTAAAGTCGAAATCTCCGTCTCGATTCGGCACACATCCGTAGGCTTTGACGGCACGCCAGCAACTGATCGAGTCGCTCGTATGCGATCGCTCTAATTCTGTGCCACAGAAGCAACAGAGGCAAAGGCAAAAGCAGCAGCAGAGGCAGCGGATTGGAAGCAACGGCACTTTATCGTAGCTATATGGCTATAGCTTTGGTTTTTTAGTGATAGCACCACAAAGGACGGCTTCCGCTTTTCTAATCTCGCGCTCCCAAATTGAATGGGTCTCTAGATGTTGTTTTAGTAGTGATTCTGGTCGCTAGGGCCTCCAAGTTAAGTATATAAAACTGCTTAGTTTATGATCGCTTGATCCAGGGATCCTTTGTGAACCGGCCCCCACTAGAGACTAAAGTCGACTGCAGTTTTTTTCTTATTTTTGCAGTCTTTGCCACAACTGGTTCCCCGGCGACTCTCGCTGATCTTTATGCGTTGCACGTGTGTGAGGAGCGATACGATCCGATACGATCCGAGGTTGAAAAGTGATTTACTGGCCTTGCCCTCCACATGCTCTCGCATTGCACTCGCACTCCCTGTCAAGATCAAGCGGCGGTACTAATGAGCCGCCCATGCCAACACATGTCGAGATCCTTCGGGTAGTCAGGATAACTACTTGTCATAACCCCAAATGCATCTCAATTTCACACTAATTACCACCAGCCAACACATGTGCGATGTGTTGTTTACTCTGATTTTTCGCCCGTTTCACAGACAAATTTAGGCATCCGCTGTGCTGTGGGATAAATTGCAGTCTGGCATTGCAAGGGCGTCATTGCTGCAGCATATTAGTTAGCCCCAGCATCGATTTCATGAAATTTGATGAGTTCATTCATGAATTTCGCCCATCCCGAAAAAGTCAGAGCCTGAACGATAATTTCCGCATTCCACAAAGCTCGAATGTCTAAATATAGTTTATTCAGAATTCAAATCTCAAACAAAACTTATATTTCCGCCAAAAAGTCCAAAATAGGACTACCAAGCTGATTGTGCCTTATATATTTTTATGTATGTATAAAACTCAAAAGATACATAAGAAAAGAATGAAGATAATCAGTCCTCATTTTATAGTCGCTCTCAACCGCAAAAATAATCAAAATGCCAAAATATTACATGCCTTTCGCTAGTTCTTTAAAAATTCGGAATAAAAAATTCTTTATCCTAAAAATTCCAATCCTTGGTTAGCAACAAGCTTGATAGCATATTTGTGAACTATTCCTTATCGACAGAATGCCAATGAGTAATTTTTAGTGATCACGAATTTCTAAGCTCCAAAAACTCTACAATAATTGTTTAAGCCATTCAGATATTTACTTCAAACAAGTGAAAAAACGATTAAGGAGCAGTTATATAACTCTGATGCTATAGTTATTTTTAAACTTTGCCTTATCAACAGTTGGCCAGGGAAAGTCGCCCTTCAGTTAGCTAATAAGTCGCAGAAATGAATTATATACATTTCAAGGCGAATCCACGACTAGCGATATATAGAACGTTCTTGATAAAATAAAAATTCGCAAACATATATGCTGTACGCCTTGGGCTTGATATAAAAAGCATCCATTCATGAATATAGGACCAAGTTCTAATTGGCTTCCTCCGCCCCGGAAGCCTGTTATCTCGACTAGTAGATACGAAGCTACGGACACTGCCTTGGTTTGGGTGAACTCCAATTAGCATAGCGATGACCCATTTAGAGCAGCTTCCGTCTCTGGGACAGGGGCGCTTCTCTCGCTGTCGCTCTTGATGCTAGAACAGCTCCCTTATCATTGCCCAGTTCCGCTGCCACTCTATATCGGTATCCTAAACGCCTAAGTATGTGGGTGAAGGGTGGCAGCGGCGGCAGTGGGATCAACAGGAAGTCGGATAGTGGATGGTTTTATATAAACAGTATATAATAGAAAACTATAGATTACAATGGCGATAACAAGGCTGACTTAGTCGCTCATACAAACTAAAAACCTGGATCCCAGTCCGTTTGCTGGGCCTCCGTGTTCGTGGTGTAGCACTGCAGAATATCACCGGCTTGTGGCAGCACTTTGGTGTCTTTAAAGCGTAAGCCGCATTCTACATCCTTCTTTATAGTATCAACCTCGTTCTTAAGATGTCGCATGGACTCCAGGGGGCCATTGTAGACAACTTCTCCATCACGTAGCAAGCGGAACTTTTGGGCCTTTTTCAGTATTCCCTTTGTGCAGCGACAACCCGCAACAGGTACTTCTTTTCGGCCCTCATTGATGAGGAAGTTTTGCAGGACATTCGCTTCTCCGAGCACCTCCTCCACTTCTACTGGAGGCAACTTACTGCTCAGTTGCTCTTTTAGGTCGTCGATAAGCCGGTAGATAATGTTGTAGGTGCGTATATTCACTTCTTTGGCCGCTTTCAGCTGAGGTGTCTCCACAGCAAAAGCGTAGATTATGGCATCAAAAGCCTTGGCCAGCTCGAGATCCCCCTCGGTTACATTTCCAACGCCATAGTGTACGATATCCAGGCGGCAGCTATCGTTGCTGTTGTAGGTCTCCAGCACATCCAGTATGGCCTCCACAGAGCCATGAACATCGCCTTTGATAATGACACTGACTCGCGGCTTGCCCTCGTTGTCGTCCACCTGCTTCACCCTCTGGCCGCCACGCATACGAAAGCGTCCGGCCAGTCGACGGGCTTCACGTTCTGCACGGTATTTCGCCTGGTGCTCTTCCTCCTTTTTGCGAATCTCATCGCTGCTGGACTCGATCTTCTCTTGCTGTGCCTCGTATTCGCGGTACTTCAGCACGGCGTGAGCTTTTTTCTAAATGAAAAGAAGGTCATATTTGGTCTGAATAAAGGATAATGCCATGCAACCAACCTCTGTTTCCACTTCGAGTATGATATCACCAGCGAGGGGCAGTTCGCGCCAACCTAGAATCTCGACTGGAGTGCCAGGCGGAGCTTCACTTAAAGGCTGCCCATTGTGATCAAAAAGACCTCGCACTTTGGCATGAGCCAAACCACTTAGCAGTACAGAACCTTTACGGAGGGTTCCACGCGAAACGATTGCCGTAGAAAGCTTGCCACGCCTGGGATCGGTTTTTGATTCCACAACAATGCCCTCGACTAGACCAGTTGGATCTGATTTCAGCCCCATGAGGGTGGCCTGTGTGCTCACCGCCTCGGCCAGAAGCTGCAGGTTAGTGCCCTTCAGGGCAGAGATCGGAATCACTTGGATATCACCACCGTGCTCCTCGAGAGCAAGTCCCATCTGGGCGAGCTCCCGCTTGCTTTTCTCCTGAAAGATATTATATTTTAGAGGGGGTTTTAAAAATCGTCCATAGAAAGTACAATATTAGCCTCTGGCTTATCGATCTTGTTGAGGGCTACGATAATAGGCACTTTAGTTTCCTTAGCTAGCTGGATGACTTCACGGGTTTGCGCCATAACACCATCTTCAGCGGCTACAACGAGGACAATAATATCGGTGGCAACAGCTCCACGAGCTCTCATCGCGCTAAAGGCAGCATGCCCTGGTGTATCCAGAAACGTGACGCGTTCGCCATTTTCTAGTGTCACTGTGAAGGCGCCTATGTGCTGGGTTATCCCGCCAGCCTCTCCGGCAGCCACATCAGCACCTCGTAGAGAATCAAGCAGTGTGGTCTTGCCATGATCCACGTGACCCATTACAGTGACTACGGGTGGTCGTGGTTGCAGGAGTTCTGGAGGAGCAGGAGGTCTGGGTGACACATCGCGGTCCTTCTGGTCATCCTCGCTGGTAACTTCGGGTGTGGCCACCACGCGAGTTTTGGCACCCAGCTTTTTGGCTATTTCCTGGATGATCTTAAGATCTGCAAGCTTAAAAGCAGGTTCAATGTTGTCGGCGCCCTTAACATACAACATAGCCTCCTGGACATCATCTGAAAGATATTAGATCATTAAATAGTTAATCAAGTTAATTGATAAGTGTACTTACCCAGTGGTCTACCCAGTTCATTGGCCAATTGTGCCACAGTCATGTGCCTCCAAATATCGGTGGCACCTCCGCCTGTTGTTTGCGCCTTCTTGGGGGAATACTCTATAATTCTGGGGGATTTCTGATCTAATTAGTGAGTGTGTCCTCTAAGAAATCGAGTAAGTTTTTTTAAAGTTTCAAATGTTCCCGGCAAACAGTTTGAAATTCATTGGCTCAGTGGCTCTAAAACCTACCTTCTCCTCTGCTGTTTTTCGGCGTTTCAGCAGTGCGGCGCTCACATGCAATCCTCTTAGATTTTCCGTTGACTGTTTCCAATGTGTGACTGCTTTGCTGTAGTGCAGGTTACTGGCCAGTCGACTTATATTAACTATTCGAAACATTTTATACCAGAGTTTTTCTAATTTTCAATGAATTTAATTTAACTTTTAAGAGTCGCGTAACCGCTGCTGCTGATTTTTGCCAGGGATGGATAGTCCAATCAGCTGGTAAACAACGTTGCCCAATCAATTGATGTTGAGTTTCATGTAGAATTCAATATAGAAGACTTACACCGGAAATAATAAAAAACATTTAAAAAAAATTGATCAAATGAAACGTTTCTAAGACGTAATCAATATTTTCAATAGAATTTGAACTTTATTTACGTACACTTTTTTTTTGAACTGCTTATTTATATTTCATTACACTTACTCTCAGTCAGTCGCTTGATTATCTGCATTAGTTCCATATAATTCCGCAAGAATGAACGTTTGGTGGCGCCACTATTATTTTTACATTGGCGTTGCTTTCCAAGTAAGTAACTTATCTTGTGGCTAAGTTTCTCCGCCAGGTGTCGGTATTTCTGACATAAATTTAGTATGTAGTAAATGTATAAAAATGTCGAAAACGAATTCTTTAGACCCGACAGTGAAATTAAGCCAAGATATAAGATAAGTCAAAAAATATTTTAATTTTAATTAAAGGTATGATGCAATATTGAAAATTACCTGTAATTGAGTTTAAGCCTCTAAAATTATCCTTATATAATGATTTTCTTGAGACCTTAAATTTGCAACTTTTCCTTTGGTTTAAAAGTAAATGTTAAAAAGGTAATTAGATCCTCCTTGAGCAATAAGTTCATTTTTCTGGAGCTAAAACTGTGACTATAACTTTTTACTAGTTACGAGAGTGATTTCAGATAATATTTAAAATTGTTTGAGTAGTTTTCATGATGATAAAACATAATAATAATAAAATTCTTATATTCCAGATTAGTTCTTATGAAATAATTTAATAAAAATATTAATAAAAAAAGTCCTTTAATTTAACATCCGCTTCCTTTAAATTGCCCTTCTAAGCGGCTGCGTGAGTGTCAATCACTGCCATTGGGGCTGCAAACTCAAACTGCTAGCTAGTTTGGAGGGATTCTCGGCTCTCGAGGCTCGAGCCCTTCTCGTGACTGACGCTGAATGCCACTTAATTCGGTTTTGAAGCGAGTTGCATGTCAAAATGATTGCTCTTCTGCAAACAGCGCATCTGTGTTTGAATTATGATGGAGCGCGCAAATATTCCAGATGCAAATATTTGCGCAAAACTACACACACGCATGCATAGTGAGGGACTAACACACACCCATACACGTACAGCAGTGACTTGAAGTGCTGGCCAGGAGCTACAGATACAGATACATATACAGGACGCAGGACTCTGGACTTGGAACTTTGGTCTACTAATGGCAAAGCGTGGCAGAGCCAAGCACTTTTGAAAATGTGTAACCGGCACTGACTGACTTTCGCCCAGCTGAGAACCGAGGACTAAGGACTAAGGACTCGATCCAGAAATCGTTTGGCCGGAGCCAACATTTGTTGGTGGTGCTGCTGCTGCTGTTGCAGACATCCGCTGCCGGAAATACGCTTACAAACGCAACCAGCACATACAACGAACACGGGTGTTCCTTCATACAGGGTGTCCATGCCAGGGCGAGTCCTTCTTAGGGGTGGTGCGATATCACCTTCCTCCTATCCCGCCATCCCGCCCCTCGTCCTCGTCCAATCTTTGTTTACTTTGCAGCGCAAGAAGACGGCAGCGACGCAAAGAACTCAAACAAAATATAACTGTTGGAAGAAGCTGATGCAACGGGCGGAATGGAGGGAAGGGGCAGCGTGCACAGAAAAAGTTTACAATTTATCTAGTAAAATGTAATTAGGATCCTGGGTGCAGGCGCAGGGCTCCCATCCTCCGTCCTGGTTTTAAGTGCGTGCAACTTTCGTTGTGCCGAGCCACCCGGCTTAAAGTTGGAGCTGTAGAGGATTTAAGTGAAGTACATGCCCGGAATGAAAAAGAAGAGGCTACAAAATCAGGATTAAAAATGTGTGTAAAAAAGTTGTAACTACGACTAAAGAGGTTTTTTAAAAACATGTTTGATTGGCACTTTCGGAATGAAATTAAAACAGTAAATAATTTAAAACCATAAACATTTTCCTTAAGTTGTTAAGTGCTACATTAATTAATGATTAATAGTTATTATGCTTGAAATTGGCAACCTGAATTTAGTCGTATTAGATAAACTAAATAATGATACATTTCACCTTAAGCTCTTTGTTTAAGGAAGCAAATTTCGACTATTTGGACTTTCAGATGTGGACTCTAGCCCGAGAGATAACTGACGTGCAAACATTAGCCTGCTGCTAGCCAAAAATAGTTGGCCACCTCTGTCAGCTAATCCGTTTCGCATTAAAGCTGCACTAACCGATGTGTTTGCGTTGGTCGCGTCTTAATTTTGCCACCACAGGTATACTCGTGCTTATGTATAAATCCGGTTATTTGCTGAGAAATTGATTTTCGTTAATTTCTGCGAGAATGCGAAAATGGCGTGCTTGGCGAGGGTCGCTCGTTTAGTTTTCCCAATTATTTGAAACACTGCAATGGCAACTTTTCGGGCGAACTGCGCATAAGACATGCGCAAGAGCGACTGAGATACAGATACTCACGGATACATATAAAGATACATATACAGATGCAGATACAGATACTCACGCACAGATACAAGAGAGCGAGGCACTCACACACTCAAGCCGACGAGGCGGAGCAAAGTAAACAAACATGGCCGAAAATGTTTGTTGCTCATAATCCGATACAAGTGCAAATGCCATCACACACACATTGGAACTCTCAAAAACCATCGCAGTTTCCAACTGGTTGGCCACCCGAAACCACATGTCATCTCATCTTAACTCATTTCAAGATGTGCGAACTTTTTGGCCAGGTGTTAATCACAGAAGCCATGTAATCGCCTTCAATATTTCAGCTGCTCGTTTCTTGGGCAATCGCAAAGGGTCTAAGTGACCACTCAGGCGTTGCAAAACGATTCTCTCGAATTTGGCAATAATTTAAACACAATTGGAAGGGAAAACAAACCCCTTACTTGCCATTACTTTATGCTAAAATCATATTAAGATTAATCTCCAAATTCAATAAAGATTTATATGTAATAAATCATTCGCAGATAAAAGAAAATAATTTTTACACAGGAATTTCAAATTTGATTTACTTTACCCAGGAATTTCTGCAAAAAAATATGTTTAAATAGTAATATTTAAAATACAAATAAATTATAATTTATAAACCAATTATAGATGACCGATATTAACCTGAATTGGCTACCGTTATCAAAGCCTTATTTACCCACGATTACACTTCCGATTGCTGAGGTGAATTGCAAATATAATTTGATAATAAGAAATAAAAAAGGAAACGCACTTATCAGTTTGAAAGCTGATAGCATGCTTCTCCCGAGGCCCTGCACTTTGGGTTAATTTATCAAGCTATCATCAGTTCCTTTTCCGCCTGCTTACCTCGTTTGAAATTGATTTGAAGTCGAGACTTGAAGTGCCAAGACCAATCATTGCCCATTTAAGAAACACTTCAGGGTAAATGGAATATTTTGAAGCTTCTTTTTAATTGAGGAACATTTGCAGCTAATTAGTTGGAGCTCTCCAGCGGGAAGCTACTCCGTTGAGGCGGTGGCCTAGGGAAATGACCCTGTCACATACGGACACTTGAGCGGGACCAAAACTTTTTGGACATCGTTGCACTTCAAAGCTGCGGCCGCCCACTTGACGGGGAAAAGTGTCGCCCACTTGAGTGTACCTACCACAGCGTCGGCATCTCAGATTTTTAGGGTTAGGCGGGGTTCTCCTCTCGATCGGGTTGGGTTTTTTCAGTATTTTCTGTTTTTTTTCTTTTTGGTTTTTTGCCAGCCAACAGGTAATCATCATCGGGGCAATGGCGGCTTTCAAATATAAGCAAAATATTGACAGAGCGGCAAACTCCAAGGCGAAAAGGCCCCGACATCAATTTCTGGCCATATACCCGACTATACTTATATGCATATGCGATCCGTCGCGATATGACGTTGCCGATTCATCGGGCCAGGTAACACCGTCTACAGGTAATACGAGTATTTCCATCCCCAGGTTTCACTGTTTACACACATTAGAGCCAGCCAGCTAGCCAGCTTCAACATCCGTTGTAGCCGTTGTCGACTGTCGCATTCAAATGTTGTTTTTAGCCATTGAAGTGGTAAATTTCACCTGTGTGCGAGGTGGAACGTCGATTCCAGCGGCGGCCCATAGACACGGCCACTTACAACAAATGCATTTTGGTCGGGGTTCGGCGGTCCGGCCTTTGATAGTGGACCACACAGACTCTCTCATAAATGCGGCGACACTTGAGTTGATTGATTTCGAGATGCAAGCATCCGCGAGATGCAAAAAAAAAAAACGAGAGAAAAAACAACTGAAGGAGTGGAGGGTAAAATCCTCAGGAGAGGGGTGAGGCTCTGAAATATTCCACTCTGGTGGTCCTTCCTACCAGTCCTGAGGTTTTATACCCTGCAATAGGGGTAAGTTGTAATCTTGAGTTGGAAGATAAGTTATTTCAAGTTTATATGTTCCTATTTGATCATAATATTCTGCCCATGATTTTAATCTCTTATGTTATTTTTCATTTTACTAACAACACCTTTTTAAAACAGTTATTTGGATGATGTCCAAGCTTCCCATAGTAGAATGACTTACTTTCCTTGAAAAATCTTTAAATACTAGGTATCTTTTAGTCCACAGCACTCAATGAAATGATCCCTCCTTGTTGCCGTTGTCATCAAGAGATCAGCCATGGCTGTTAATTTGCTGGAGGAAGTTTCCATTTAGCACTTGGGCAAACAGTCTCTGGTTTCTGCAGTTGTCACCAAGCCACAAGCACATTCCTCGATCCCGATGCCAAAGTCCGGCCAAGTTTGCCATAAATACAAAATATCTAAAATATTATTTCCAAGGGGGTGGCAGCAGAGAGAGCCTTGTTTTATTGTTGCTTCTGTTTGCGGTTTGCTGCTGCTGTTGCTGCTGCTGCTGCCGCTTCGAGTGCCATTCAGCTAAATTGTTTGTATGTCAATCAAAGATGAAAACGCGCAACGGAAAATGCGAAAATTAAA